CACGGTCTCAGAGACCACGAACGCTACCTGTACGTGAACCAAACACCTACCGTGAGGAGTCGGTCCCTGCGGTCGGTACGCGGCCCACGCCAGAGACACACCAACGGCCTGCATCCCGGAGTCAAGGCCCCGCCCACGGCGCCGCGCGTCACGTGACCGCGGCGCGGCCTGCGCTACGGGTCCCGGGAAGGGCCAGCCCCGGCCGTTCTCGCGTCTCGGCCGGCCCGCTGCGGGCCGCTCTGGCCGGTGTTTCGCCCGGGCGCCTCCGTGCGCTCGGCCAACGGCCTCCGAGAGCGCCCACCTGAGCCGCCAGGAGCCGGCGGGCGACGGCCCTCGCCGGGGGCCCTCCAGCGGGCCCAGGGGTGAGTACTGACGTCTTCCCGACCCGCGACCTGCAGCCCGGCGCCGAGGCCGGGATCCTCCGGCCGCCGGAGGGACCCGCGTCAGCCCCGGTGCGTCCCTGCTGCCTCCCCGGCCCGACTCCCGACCCCCGACCCCCGACCCCTGGGGCTTTTCGCCTTCACCCCAGGCCTTCCGGCCTTCTCAGGCCTGGCTTCCCCATCTGGCCCTGAGGGGAAACTGCCCTGCAAACGTTTGGAGCAACCTCTTCACCCTCCTAGGTCGCTGCCTCATTGTCGAAACATTTGGATTTTTTTTCCCCCCGGTCTAGAAAATAGCTCGGGGGAGGAGGGGAACAACTAGAGAGGGCCTGAGCTTGAACCAGGCGCTTTGCCGGTCGTCTTCCCTCCCTCCCGGTCAAGGTCTTTGCATCTTTCAGTGTGTGACCTTGAGCTAGGCACCTGCGATCTCGAAAAGTAGTTTGTGCCGCTGTTTTGTTTTTCTTTTGACTTCGGGGAAAGTACGTGTTGGAAAAGAAAGGCCTTGTGGAAAGCCGGGTCAGACGCAGCGAGAGGCCCAGGCGGGCCCTGCCTGTGAGCATCCTTGTTCGCAGGTGCACCTGCCTGAGCGGCCCCGGGATTGAATCCCTCCCGGGAGCGGGGAGCGGGGAGCGGGGAGCTGAGCTCCTTTCCCGCCGAGCCCGGCCCCTGCCCTGGGTGTGCGGGACGAGTCACGACCTGCAGCCGTGGAGCAAGGCGCTCCTCTCCGGGGAGGAGAAGGCTCTCAGGGGTGGAGGTGTCTCTTAATTGCAGAAGATAAGAAAAGCGTGGGGCCCTTGTTCTTTGTTCCCAAATATAGAACCAGTTGTTTCCAGGCCTCTCCTCCGTGGAGAAATTTTAGCTGCAGTGCAAATTGTGTGTTTTCTCTCCCTAGATGAAAAACATTGGCTTCTGTGTCAATGTCCTTAACTAATGAGATCCCAGAGAAAAATCCCTTAGGAAAATGGATTTGGAAAGAATTAGAACCACATAGTTGTACTTAGCAGTTTTTCCCCATGTGATTACATGGGGGGGGGGGGGGGGGGCGGAGTGCGGGGAGCTTCTGTCTTTTTCGTTTCAAACGCTTGTGAATTGGCTTTGCTATTCTTTCCAAAAGGAAATTGTGGTGTTCTGTTCCTTCCTGTCCGATAGGGCTGCCTCGTTTTAGGATTACGAAGTTTGGTTGGACTCTCCTACTTTCTGGTTTCAATGTTGTTTTTCTGTGGGTTCAAAAGCATATTTTAAAACTCGATCGTTTATATTTTTCAAGTTTTCAGTGATTTTTATTAAACTAAAGTTAATTTTGGATTGCTACACCCTGACTTTCTAATAAACACATTCTTTTAAGGATAGTTGCTTGGAAAGAGTACTGAAGCAGGTGACCTAGATTAAAACCTTGAACTAGGTTCACACAATGAGTGATCAAGAATTGGCCTTTTTTTCTTTTCTTTTTTTTTGTAATTAGGCAATTATATAAATTTGTGCCACCATGATCAGTTTGACCCAGTTTGTTTCTGTCGCTCCCTATGCTTTTTCTCTGGGTCCCAGTGTTTTGACATAGAAAATAAGAAAGTAAAGTATGAACCATTGTGTGCCAAAGTTGGGATACTTTTCATGAGTGGGACGTGACTGACTTGATTCTAGGTGGTGTATGATTGAGGGTTTTCATAATAGTTTCTGTGATGTGTATTTAAACTGTGGTTTAAGGTAGTGATGTAAAATTTCCTTTTAAACAGTTGGGTGAAAGAAAAGATTAGTGTAACAGAGTAAATGTGCTGTGTGAATATGAGTAAAACCATAAAGTTGGTAAATTACTGATGTTTGGGAACCACTGGGCTTAGAAAGTAGAGATCTAAGATCATCTGTGATTTTGAGAGAAATTTTGTGTCCTTAATTTTATAACAGAATTAGAGGCCTGATGCATGAAATCTGTGCACTCATGAGGGGAGGTGGCAGTCCCTCGGCCTGGCCTGCGCCCTCTTGCATTCTGGGAGTCCTCAGGGGATGTCTGACTGAGGGCCCAGGCCGGCTCTCCGGGACATCCTTATAGCTGCTTCAGAGGTGGGAGAGGCTCCCGCTACTGCTGCTGCACTCACCAGCTGTGAGCCGGCCTCTGGTGCACTGACCATCGGGGGGCAGCTCCTGTGTTGAGCATCTGCCCCCTGGTAGTCAGTGCGCATCATAGCAACCGGTTGTTCCTCCGTTTGGTCAATTTGCATATTAGGTTTTTATTATATAGGATATCAGTTCTGGTTACCTAGTAAATTCTAAGGGAGAAAACTTCGGGAATTAATATCTTAACTCCAAATGAGAAGTTTATTTATTGTCAAAATATATTACCCAAAATGTCATAGTCTAATAAGGGAAAGTAAAAAAATAGATTTTGATTTATTTTACATAAGCAGAATACTAGTAATTGGGATAGTTCAGCATTAAATCTTTGTAGAAAAGTTGCATTTACTCTTAATTTAAGTAACTCTGATTGGCTACAGGAGTAATTTGGCTTTTTCCAGTAACTGTCTTTTTCATGTCCACCTTTATGATCTAAGTCTGTAATACTCGACCAACTCAGATTCTCCTAAGATAAGCTGTTGCTATAGAATAGAATGTCCCAGTGGAAAGTTAATTAGACTGAAATTTAGTAAATGGCATATAGAGAATACCACATTTCTGGGAGATAATGTTCTATAATTTGTGAGCTTTGTTTATTATTGTAAAACTTCAATTTTTAATGTCCCAAGACTATAATCCTTCAGACACATCTTTTTAGTGTTATTTCTAAATATAAGCATTTACTATACTTCTGATTCATACAAGTATAGGATGAGTATCTCATCTAGAATGATGCACAAAAATTGATTATAGAGATTGTGGGGACCTGAGTGGTGATAGGACAGGATCTGTGGACACTTTGTTTTCTTTGTATGTTTTTATGTGCTTTGTACTGTATGCACATATTATTGGTTTAAATTACTGAATAATTGTTATATATGGAATTAAGTTCTAAGTAAAATTTAGCCGATACATTTGTTACTTCCTAATATATATGTGTATGTATGTATATATACACTTATCTGTGTGTATGTGTATATATATATGTACAAACATTAAGATTCTTTTAAATTTATATATATTTTTCATCTGCTACATTTTTCTAATTCAAATCAGAAATAATTAGTCTATTATTTTATCTTGCTTAACTAATGAATGGTTGTAGGACCCTGTCTGATGGCCCAGTTGGCCAGAGCATCATCCTGTTTACCAAAAGGAGGCGGATTGCATTCCTGCTCAGGGCATGTTCAGGCGGCTATGAATCAATGTCTGTCTGTCTCTCTCCTTCCCACCTTCCCTACCTTCCTCCATCTAACTCCTTCCCCCTCTTTTCCTTGTCTCTCTCTCTCTCTCCCTCTCTTCATCTCTCTAAAAATCAATAATTTTTTTTTTAAATTATAAAATTGGTTGTAAGTTTTTTAAGTGTTTCTTTATTTTATAGTTTTTTTTTGTTTTGTTTTTTAATATAAGGTTGTGCATCTTTGATGACTTTTATCATTTGGAGATTTTCCAAAAATGAATTCCTAATGTGGTATCATCTAGTTTCTCATTGAGCTCCTGTTTTTCTCCCCCAGGGACAAAAGGGGCTCTATATCCAGCACGTGCACACTGAAGCAAGTTAAAGGATTTACTATGAAGCACAGAAGCAGATAGTGCCAAGTAGCAAGTTGTAGTTGGTACACATTTGTGAGTAAAGATGTTCTCTTTTAGTTCTCTTTTCTTAGCCTTTAAAACAGCTGCATGGCAGATCCTTCAAATTCATACATTTGAGTAAAAAATAAAAAAGCAAGTTCACAGTCTTAATTAATCAGTTGAGCAATCTCTAAGAACTCTCCTAAACTTCTCCAAGAAGTGGAGCTTCAAGTGTGTAATATATCTCTGACATGGAGCTTGAGAAATATCCCAGCTATGACTTAAAGTTATACTGTTCTTTATATTTTATTGCCCTTGATTTGGGGAAAATGTTTTTGCTAAAAATGTAGTATGGTTTCATTTTCAAAGTTAATTTTTTTTTTAAAGAAAACACAACTTATACATCAAATATTAAAGCTTCTTGAAATACATTTATTTCTGCCTTTTACATTCTCTTTATGGTTTCTTTTGTAGTCAATGAAATGAAGAGGATTCTTTCCCTTAAAATGTAATGATTAGAGTTGTACAGCAAAGTGTTTTTTTTTCTAATCTGACTTCTCATTTGTATATACATTGGATTAGCTTTTCTTTATGCTGTTGGCAAAATCATAAAATAATAACTGTATTTAATACCATATAGAATAACTTTATTTAGGAGGGATTTGAACATTTGTTTCTCAGATCAAGCCCCAAAACTCTTGAAATCCAAAAACTATTTTAAGTAGATATTTCTTTTATTCATAGGTTTCTTAAGAAATTAATTATTGAAATACTGATTTTTATTCTTTCTTTTTTACAGCTGGAAAAGCAGTGTCCGTGTTGTTATGTACACCTCCAAAAAAATTCAGATCTGTAGGGGAATTGTTGTGTAAAGTAAACTGAACTACAGGGTAGCAGTATTTTAATAGCTATTATAGAAGTGTGTTAACTATATTAAAAATGAGTAAAAGAAAAACCTGTGACCCACCAATAGGAAGGTCAGTGACATTTTATTCAGTTGAGCTGGTATTAATAGGCTTGAGCAATAGTGGCCTTAAAGCTAATTGCCATGGGCTAACCATGCTCTTTTATATTTTTATCAGCATTTTGTGTTTTGGGGCAACTTTCTTTCTACTGCATTTCCCTGCAGCATGGATCCTTCTTTAATTCAGGTTACTCAATGCATCTGTACCATCTTTCCCCTTAAAGGCATGTCATGCTTTAAAATAATACACATGTAAATGTGATATTAAATACAAATTAATAATATGAAACTTTCAATCCCTCAAAATGAATGTATACATTAAGGATTTATTAATGCATATGCTATATTGGTATTCATTGCATCTCAGTCATCAGATATACATTCAGCAAGAGATGTTTTAATTTGTATTTTGTGATTTTCAAGGGATCGCATCTTTTTAGTACATTTGCCTTATAAATCTGATTTTCATCTTTTTTTTCCCATGCATGACAGCAATTTCAAATTTCCTTTTTGTAAAGTCTCAGCAGCTATTCTTCTAATAATTGATTATGAATTTTTAATTTTAAGTTTTCTTTCAGGCATTTTTGAGTTGCAGCATGCATATCTATACTGTGTGTGTGTGTGTGTGTGTGTGTGTGTGTGTGTGTGTATGCGTGCGCGCGTGTACGTGTACATGTACATGTGCACACGCACAAATTTGTGTTGTGGTTATACAATAATTTTTAAAATTTGCTCCCAAACAATAGTTTCAAGATGCAGTTTCAACTGATAAGGGAGAGAAGGCATTAAATTAAAGAAAACATTTTCTTCACCTTTTTTTTGTTTGTTTGTTTGTATTCAGTACTCAGAAATGAGAAGTCTCTTTTTGCTCTTTCAGTAAGGTATTGTCATCTAACTTCAATGCAGAGAAGACTAACATTTTCATACTCAGTCACATTGTCTTTATTTATTTATTTATCTATTTATGCCCACAGAGTGAGTGGGGCAGCATTTCCTTCTCCCACTCCTGCCGAGATGGCGGAAATTAGTCGAATTCAATATGAAATGGAATACACCGAAGGCATTAGTCAGCGAATGAGGGTCCCAGAAAAATTAAAGGTAGCACCACCAAATGCTGACCTGGAACAAGAATTCCAAGAAGGAGTTCCAAATGCCAGTGTGATTATGCAGGTTCCAGAGAGGATTGTCGTAGCAGGTATTTTACATTTGAGTATTGGTGCCTGGCTTATTTTTTGTTTTACATATTTTTAGGAAAACTTTATGGTTTTTCAAAACATTGGGGTTAGAAAATGCAACTTACAATTTTTTAAAAAAATGTTATTTATTACAGTAATGTGAAATTTCAAACAATGTTTTAATCAACTAATTATTGAGGTGTAATACATTATATACATATAATATGTATAATTTTTAAGTGTATAGCTTGTTGAGTTGTTTTTTTTTTAATATATTTTTATTGATTTCAGAGGGAAAAGGGAAGGGAGGGAGAGATAGAAACCTCAATGATGAGAGAATCATTGATAAGCTGCCTCCTGCATGCACCCCACTGGGGTTCAAGCCCACAACCTGGGCATGTGCCCTTGATCAGAATTGAACCCAGGACCCTTCAGTCCATAGGCTGACACACTATCCACTGAGCCAAACCAGCTAGGGCATAGCTTGATGAGTTTTAACAAATGTATACACCCATGTAACCTCTACCAGTTATAGAACACTGTCCAGTTATAGAACATTTTCATTACCCCAGCAGGCCCATCTCATTTAATTTTTATCCTTCAATTTCAGGCAACCGTAATCTATAATCAGAGACTAGATTTATTTGTCTTTCCTAGAGTTTATTATAAATGGAATTATACATGGTATACTCTAGGTTTTGGCTTCTTTTGCTGTGTGTTATTGTTTTTGAGTTTCTTTTCTGTTGCTTATATCTTGTTCATTCCATTTTATTACTGAGTAATAATTCTATTGTGTAGATATACCATGATTTCTTTATCCATTCACCTGTTGAGGGACATTGAGTTTTTGTTTTGTTTTTCTTTTTCTTTTTTGCTCTTGGGGCTATTAGGAATGAAGCTGCTATGAATATTCATGTACAAATCTTTGTTAGGACATGTGTTTTACATCTGTAGGAATGGAATTGCTAAATCATATTATAAGTTATGTTTAACTTTATAAAAAGCTGTCAAGCTGTTTTTTAAATTGGTTGTGATCTATTATATTCCTATCCGTGATGTATGAGAGTTTCAGTTGCTCCATATCCTTATCAGCATATTGTATTGTCAGTCTTTAATTTTGGCCATTCTAGGGTATGTAGTAGCAAATACAGTTTAATAAAAGTACTAGCTTTTTAAAACCTCCCTTCTTACCTTTTTGTATTTTTACTCCCAGGAAACAATGAAGACATTCCATTTTCAAGGCCAGGAGATCTTGACCTCATTCAGTCAACTTCTTTAAAACCTCTGGCACTAAAAACACCACCTCGTGTACTTACACTAAGTGAAAGACCACTAGATTTTCTGGATTTAGAAAGACCTCCTTCAACCCCCCAAAATGAAGAAGTAAGTAGAGTTTTAACATCAACTGAATTTGAAATAATATAGGAAAAAGCAAAAGCTAAAGAGGAGTTAAGAGGCTATATATCCTATCATTGGCAACATGAAATGAAAGCCTTCTGCATGGACCATTAATTACTATAAATTCTGGTTTATAGATATCCCAAATAAGATATTCTGCTAGTGTGTTATTTTTAATTTAAATCATGTCTCAGGAAAAAGCAGATTTGGGGGAAATCATGAACCTAGGCACTACACCTTCAGTGATACAGAAAAAGTTGGGAAGTTGAGCATAGGAAAAGACTGATGCATCATTTTGTTACAAAAGCAATCTGGCATACAGAGCAAAAGAAGGCTCCTTTTCTGTTGATACCACCTATTCTCCCTACTTGCTGAAAAGTTTCTACTGAGTTAATTACCGTACCATATAACATTAATAGCCATGTTGACATAAATATGGCAATATGGATTCATAAGGTGTTAGTAGCCATATTCAGATCTTGACTCTGCCATTGATTCAGGGCCAGTTTGTAAAACGTATTTTCTGTGATGATTTCTGTAGTTGCAACTTTTTCTTTATAGCTTCTAAAATTGTGCTATGAGACAATGTGAAACATCTTTTTCTTGATAATGGAACTACCTGTCTTTCATCTTTCATATAGTCCTTTCCAAGGAGGGTAAAGGACCTATATTACATAGGGAAGTGGCATTTCCTAGTACTAGTTATGGTCTTTTCTTAAATTGGAAGTTTCTGCTGAGGTAAGAGAGAAAATATACTTCTGGTGCTAGTGTGGACATTAAGTATTTGCTTGGTGAAAGACACTAAATTTGAGTGTTCACGTGATAGAAAAGGCACTAAGATATTTGCAGAATTGTGTTTGATTAAGAAATATTTCTTTGAATTTTATTGTAAGACACTAGATTGTGAGACATAGTTCCTGTATAGTGGTATGAGTGAGGGAAAGAAACACACACACAGATTTTTTTAATAGCAAGGAATAATGAAAATTATGAAGATCGTTACACAAGACAAAAGATAACCACAGCATGCTCCTAATTGGAGGCCCAGTTTTCGGCTCCCCAAAGTTCCCACCAGAAATTACAGCTGTGAATAGTATTATCTTGGAGTAAGGATTCTGCCAGGAGAGAAACCCTCCCTTTAATATTCTTCTAGTTTTGTTTTTCTTTTGATCTTCCTTCTTCCACTATTTTAGACACATGCCTACTTGGTATAAAGAACTGACTGGAACAAGCCACCCACCCACTCTTCTGAGTAATTACTTTACACCTGAGTGAGGAAAAATTACTCTTAGTAGATCTAGATTTTAAGTCTATATGGGTTTGCTTTTGTAGTAATTTTGATATCTAGTCAAATGTGATGAGTGCACAGAGTACATTATTGCTGGAGTGAAAAACTTTTGGCTGAGAATTAGATCTAATTTTGAAGGCCTTCTTTGCTACTTATTAACCACGTGACTTTGGGCAAGTTATTTAACAATTCCAATGCTCATCTCTGAAATAACACCAAGTACCTAAGATTCTTGTCGGAATTAAATATAATAGTGCATGTAATGTGTTTAGCACATGTGTTTTATTATGTTAAAAGCACAGTTTGTAAATCTTGTTATGAAAGTTAAAATCTTATGACAGGAGCCAGATCCTGAGATGCAAGAGATGAGTGTCTGATTTCAGTATTAGCTGTGTATTGAAGGAAAGCAATGATGATGCTCTGTGCTTCAATTCCATAGAAGAGTCACGCGGCCCTCAATAGACAATTAACCAGTGAGCAAAGGAAAAAGGAAGGAACCAGTTCTAGTAGCTTTTTGAAAATGGATTGAAATAGAAGAGCAGTTTGGCCTTATTTGCTGATATCATAGATGATTCATTCAGATGCTATTCAATATCTATCAAATGAAACCCCTGAATAGTTTACTCTGTAGTAGTCATTTTACAGCATATGCCACAGTTTCTCAACCTCAGCACTGTTGACATTTTGGACTGAATAATTCTCTATTTTGAGGGCTGTCCTTTTGTAACAGCATTATTGATCTCTACTTACTAGTTGCCAGTAGCGTCCTTCAAGTCATGAAAAGCAAAAAGGTTCCTAATAGCCAAAAGGTGGAAACAACCCATATGTTCATCAGCTGATCAATAGATAAGCAAAACGTGGTATATCCATATAATGAAATATTATTTAGCCATACTAAGGAATGAAATATTTACAGCTGCTACAACATGGATGACCATAGAAAACACGCTAAGACAAAGAAGCCAGACAGAAAAGGCCATATGTTGAATGATTTCACTTACACGAAATATCCAGAATAGGCAGTTGCCACATATGGAAAGCAGATTACTGGTTTTAAGGGGGTTGGGAGAGAGGGAATTTGGAGTAACTGCTTAATGATAATGATTATGAGGGGGCCAGGAAACAGTGGCAGCTGCACTATTTTGCTCATGGATTCTGTGAGTAAAGAATTTGCATCAGGCATAATAGGGAAAGACACTGTTTCTGTTCTACACTATGTGGAACTAAGGCAGGAAGTCCTATAGACGGGATGATTTGGCAGCTTGAGGCTACAATCTGAGATTTATGCATGTCAGTTAATAGTAGCCGGGGTCAGATTTCAGCTAGGCTACACATGGCCTTTTCATGTGACGACTTATGCTTCCTCACATCATGGTGTCATTGTTGCAAATATGAACAGTCTTGAGAAAAAAGGCAGAAACTTACTATGGCTTATGATCAAGCATCAGTAGCCACATTGCATCCATCTTTCCAATTTCAAGGGAAGTGGACACAGATCCCATTCCTAATAAAAAGAGGTCAATGATACATTTGTAAGAAGAGCTTGTGGGATGGGAAATTGTGGTTATTTCCTTTAAGCTAGGAAGACTGTTTTTTACTCTACTTTTTAGGTATTCAACCAAATCTGAATTTGTTTAAACCCCAGAAGCCAGAAACATTTATTTATAATAAAAATATAAATTTTCTATAATATATGTACCTTTAAAGCTGTTGAGAATTGTTCTTAAGTAATATATCTATATTACACATGTCTACCAGCAATTCTTACTTTTTGTTGTTGTTGTTGTAAATTTTGTGAGTAGCCTTGATTAAGGTTCTTTTGATGCTAAGCAGCTATTATGCTACTAAGAATATTTCCTATTCCCTTACCTTTGTGCCTAACAGGTCCGTGCAGTTGGCAGGCTAAAAAGAGAGCGCTCTATGAGTGAAAATGCTGTTCGCCAAAATGGACAGCTGGTCAGAACTGATTCCATGTGAGTACAACCACTAAGTACTGTGTCTCCTTTAAGTTTTCTCCATAGATATCTTTTTCTGAATAATTTACATTTTTTAATTCTCAAGTTAAAAAAAAAAAGCATGTGTTTTATGCCTAAGAAATTTACTTCTAATAGCATTTAAAATCTGTTTTGCATTTGCATTACTTTTACATAATTGCAATACTTGTAATAATCTTAAAAACCTGACCATTTGTTAGTTGTAAACATTTTTCAACAGCATTATCTTTTATGTATATAGTAGTCTTAGCAAAGAATGAATTGCCTATTTGGGGAATCTTCTATAAAGCATACTTAAGAAAAACTGATAAATGTTAAGTGCTCAGTTCTGTGCATCCTTTAAAATTATTTTATCTAGCATGTTGGTTAAAAAATAAAGAAAAGGTAAACACTTTATATAAAGAAAATCTTTATTTCCAAGTTACTTAATTTGACATAAGATTGTGAATTAACCCTTTCTAGCTCTGCTTCTAATGAGCTGTGTTAAATAATGTACCATAGGCAAGTATTTTTTCTTTTCTAGGATTATTTTTTTTATCTTCCTGCCTACCAAGTTATTGAATTATTAGGTTCCTTTTATTTTCCAGAAATGCAAGTATGTTGCTTAAAGGACTATTTGTTTAAAACTCTTTCTCATTTGGCTAAATTATCACACCCTGATCTTAAAGCTCCCTCACTATAAAATGCTTTAAATCAGGCAAGTGCTTTTATGTTTTTATCAAAACTAATGGGTTTTTAATAAATTAAACATCCCTTTATTTGCTAATCAGTATAAAGGGATGTTTATACTGATTAGCAAATAAACATTTTTTAAATCTAAAAGCCTTTGGTAATTTTGGCTTTTTAAAATAGATGATTTAGATATTTAATGTAAATTAATATGTCTTCCTCATTAACAGTTACTAAGAACTCATTCATTGTGAACCAAATTTGATGCCAAGCATTATAATGTTAGCTTCTTTGGGAACTGCAAAAGAATTAGGAAATGAAACATTTCTCTCTTGCAAATCTAGGTAAAAGCAAAACATTTAAATTTCTATGCAAAATAACTAGAGTACAATACAAGTATATCATTATATTAAACATTACCAAGTTCTAGTTTGAACCTGATCAAAGAGTGATGGTCTTTTTTTTTTAATATATTTTATTGATTTTTCTTACAGAGAGGAAAGGAGAGGGATAGAGAGCCAGAAACGTCGATGAGAGAGAAACATCGACCAGCTGCCTCCTGCACACCCCCTACTGGGGATGTGCCCGCAACCAATGTACATGCCCTTGACCGGAATCGAACCTGGGACCTTTCAGTCCGCAGACCTACGCTCTACCACAGAGCCAAACCGGTTTCGGCGAGTGATGGTCTTTGATGGGCATAAGGCAGTGGTCGGCAAGCTCATTAGTCAACAGAGCCACATATCAACAGTATAACGATTGAAATTTCTTTTGAGAGCCAAATTTTTAAACTTAAACTATTTAGGTAGGTACATTGTTATTAACTTAATTAGGGTACTCCTAAGCTGGCCTTTGCTAAAAACTCAAGGGGCCAAAGAGCCACATGTGGCTCGCAAGCCACAGTTTGCCGGCCACTGGTATAGGGTCTCTCTTATATTAGGTGCCAGAATGGTAACTTCTCTGATCTTTTAGGGAATCTTTAAATTCTCCCTGGAATAGTTAGAGTAATTCTGAATTAAGTTACATATGAGAAAAGTAAGTTCAAATTAATATGTATTTCCTTTAAGGAATATTGATCTGAAATGTTCGACCACTATTAATGCGAAATTTTTTATAACTGTATGTTTTCTTGAAGGTGACTGGTTGGCAGTGATATCAACCAGCCTATGAAATCATTTTTCTAGAATACTTAAAAGAATATTATACACATGGTGAAAAAGCTACATAGTTTATGGCTAAGGTAGCTTCTTGATAATTAGAGCCCTCAGAATGAGTCCACATAACCTCAGAGCTTTTATTATTTTCTATATGTAATATTTTTTAAGCCATCAAAGGTTTTAATAAACGTTCCTGCTATATAAAGATAGGGCTTATTTAGGTGTTTAATATTTTGAAATTTCACACTAATGAAATTAAAGCATCATGTTTACATCATGCTTACATCACTTTTGTTTTTATCCTCACAACATATATATTATTGATATCTGAATTCAGTTAAAAAGAAAGGAAACAGCTGTATTATGTATAAAAACCAGCCTACTCTGTGATTTAGAGTAGATGATTAAATCATAAGATATTTTTGCAGTTGCCAATAACATAAGTTCCTCATAAAAGAAAAGATTAACAGACTTAACTAATTTTGATTTCTTTTTTTTAACTGCCTTAATGGCATTTTCATTTTTATAAAACTGAAAACCTCATGTGTTTATTTTTGGTAGTAAAAACAACATGAATATTTAATTATAAATTTAATATTGAAATGCTTACTTTACTTACCCATACTTTTTATTATGGTGTTTAAACATATGTTACCATGTCATTTTTAAGTAAGTTACTTAACTGTTGTCTTATTAATAATATGACCTTGCCTTTTCTTCTACCATTATTAATTTTTACAACTTAAAATTGAATTCATCTGTAAGAATCTACATTTAATCAACCTTAGGAACTTTATTTAACTTGGTAACATGGTCAGGAAGAAACTATTAAGAAAGCCATTTTACTTCTACTAAAGTAATTATCAAACTATTGCTGTCTTTACCTAAGTTAGTCTTTTCTTTGTAATATGAGAGTAATTATGTGTCATTGTGCATGAACCTTTGCCTACCTTTACTTTTATTCCTTGGCATGAAGATTAGAAGTACATATGGGTGTAAGAACAAGAGCACTGGCCCCTGTTCTCTTAATTACTTTCAACAGACAGTAGGTTGATTGTGGTCAGCCATAGATATAAAAATGAATTCTGACCAGTAGAATCGTATCTAGCTTTTCCTTTGTGTTATAAAAACTGAATATGTAAAAGAAGCATAATTATTATTTAAGGTGGCACAGATCAGATTCTGCCCCAAGAAATAAAATTTCAAGGTTCCAGGCACCGATTTCTGCACCGGAATACACGTAAGATTTTATCTGCTCTGCTTTTCACCAGTAGGAGTTATTTTATTTTGCAGGCTTATGTCATACTAATATTTCACCAGGTAATTGGCATATAATATGCTAATTGGCATATAATATGTTTGGCTTTTTAGTACCTCTGTTACAGGATTTCTCAAACTGTGATCATACACTTTATATAGAAAAACAAACCAACTAAAAAAGTTATGTGTTATTTCGGGCATACCGGTGAAAGTGAAATGGAAAAATTTACACATAAGCATCTGAAACCTATATAATTTTATTAACCAGTATTACCCCAATAAGTTCAATATATTTTTTAAAAATACACTTAAGGACCAAGCATCCTTTTTCACTTTATTTATTTTGCTTTGGTTGGAATAGTCTCTGTTGATTCAATTTTAACCAAGGTTAGTGATCCCAATTTTTTATTTTTTTATTTTAGCATACTATCTTGTTTCATTTTGAGTCAGGAGAATGGAATGTAAGTGTGGTTTATCATTGAGGTTTTTTAAAAAATATATCATAGATTAAAATCCTGCTTGGAAAAATATTTTGCAATCATTTAGACCCATGGAGCGAATGGAAATATTGGCATTTAGTTATAAGAATTTAAAAACTAATATAGTTCTTAAGCAACAAAAGCCACTCTGGCAACCAATGATTTTTCCCTTATTCTGGTTCGCTTATTATGCTTTTAGGAACTAGTAAATTGCCTTAAACAGTGGCAACAAATTAGTGTTCTCTGTATATAAAATTTCAAGAGAAATGACACAAGATTCGTATTCCAATGAACATTTGTTCTCCCCCTTTTCCTATTGCACCTTTATTCATTTTTGGAAGAGGCGAGAGCCTCCCCAAAGCGATTATCCTCACAGTTTGAGAAACATTATTACTATGAAAACCCATCGGGAAAGAGGTACTTGACTTTGAATTTTCCTTTTAATGATGACATAGCTATGCCAAGTAAATTTTCATTTAAATTTGAGTTTTGACATTGGCTAGTGTTTATTAACAGTCATGTCATACAATTTTATGTAAGCGTGAGGTAGAGCTATTACTAATGAAGTAGCATGGTAAACATGGGTGCTTTCTTAAAAATTGTCTAATCTTTCATAAAAGATAAAGGTGAGATTTTGCTGTTTTATCACATTACTAAGATCAATTTATCATCAAAGTGCATTTTTATTAAATTACTAATATTATAATATTTGCTTAAATAATCTCAGTGCCTTTGCAATATGTTTACTTTTTTATTTTTCACGATAGTTCACTTGTCAAAAAAAAAAACACCCAAAAACCAAAAAGTTACACTTCCTTGGTTGGGTGGATGAGTGGACTGAGATGGAACTAACTCTAAAAGCACTCACTATTTCCCTTTCCAGTCCATGCTAGGTGGTGGGCATGCCAGCTTGAGTCAGACTGATAGTTAAAATGGGGATTAATTCTTTTTGTTCTTATATTTGCTTATTTTTAAAAAGACTTGCAAGACAGCTTAAAGCTTTAAAAAGATTGCTGCAGTATTTATTGCTTCTAATCAGGCTAATTTTGTTCATCTTCAGATGAAAATAAATTTTAACAATCAAGGGCATTTAATCTAGACAAAATACTGTTCAATGTGATCATCAGTTTAAAAAATACTTCCTATTCTGTTTTTGCTCTTTATGAGGGATTGCAATATAAATTAATAAAAATGTATATTTCTTACTAATTTTTGAAAATATTTCTTTTGATAAACCATCATAAATCCAAATAGGTTTTTTATGGTGGTCTTTGATGAAATATCTTTTCTAGTAATGATAGACTTAATTTTATATTTTATCTTTCTACATGTTTTATAAGTTACAATTGAGGATCATGTAAGGTTTTTAACTCCCATTTATTACCAGATCACAATTTCATATGATCATAGAATCGTAGAATTGGAAGAGATCTTACAGACTTTTAGAACTCTACCTTCTGTGCATTTTTTTAAAAATATATTTTATTGATTTTTAACATAGAGGAAGGGAGAGGGATAGAGAGCTAGAAACATCGATGAGAGAGAAACATCGACCAGCTGCTTCCTGCACACCCGCTACCAGGGATGTACCCACAACCAATGTACATGCCCTTGACCGGAATCGAACCTGGGACCTTTCAGTCCACAGACGGACACTCTATCCACTGAGCCAGACCGGTTTTGGCCCTTCTGTGCATTTATCTTAAGATTTTTTGCAGTTAATTTTAAAATATTTTATGCTTGACTACTTTATGAATACATCTAATTTCCTATTGCTTTTACTGGCAAAAGTGATTTCTCTCAAAGGAAATAGTTTCTTTTTAATTTTTAATGGGCAAAAATCTATCAAACTTTTTTCACATATTTGCATTTAGTTTATTGACATTATTGCTATAAGATTATTCTAAATATTCATTATTATAGACTTTAATATAGTAGTATGTAACTAATTTATTTACTAATATAGAATGATATGCAGAAGTATTATATTTAATTTCAGCACCAAAATGCAAAGACAAAAACTTTAATTAACAAATATTACACTAACTGGTCTTTTAAAACTTGCTTAGGTGAATTTAGCCAGGTATGTTGGCAGCTCTATCACTTTTTATTCCTGCCTCTTGTGACACTTTTCTAACATGTATTCAGTCTGGTTTCTCACAAAGAGCAAGAATTCCAGGTGTTCCCAGGCTGCCTAGAGGTTTCTGAGTGACAGACGAGTGCCGAGACGTTGAGACCAGGCAGACTGCTCTTTTTACTCTTGTGGGATGTTGAATATGGGTTTTGCCAAGTACAATGGGGCAGTTGCTAAATTGGCTTATGTATATCCCAAAATATTTGTGGTCTCTGGACAGGCTTTTAGGATGACTGTCCATGAGTTTACGTCGGAAAACTTGCATTTCTTTTGATATCATTAGGCCTACTTCCTTTGGTGAATCAGCCCTGACATTAGTTTCTCAATATGTCAAGTTTTGGCTTAGATCTTTCTCTTCAGAGTAGTCTTTTACTGTACTTCTCATTTTGGATTATTAAGACTTTTTCAAAGTTATTCACAAAATTGTGGAGATTTTGTTTTTAATTTCCTGGGACTGTGGGAATAATATTAGATGACAGCTATCTTTTCAAAAATTATCCCACACTTATTTTGTGGTTTCTAAATAAATACATGTTAATTTAGAAAAATTACACAAGTCAAAATCCAAGATTTTCTCTTTTCACTTGTTCACTGTGTGCTCCATTTTATTTTGTTTTATTTTGGACATAATCACAGGATGAGGTTTAAACAAGTCTCTGAAAATACACCAATCTTAAGAGTTTGGGTTACAGCTGTAAAACTGCTTCATTCATATGTGTTCAGCTTGTGGGACACACTGGCAGTGGAGCCAAAGAAACTGAATCGTAGCTCATGTGGAAAAGACTGTAAGATTACTGGCAAAGAGAATCCCCAAAATTAAAATACTTTTATTATAACTTTAAAAACTTGAACTCATCTTTAAATTTACTCATAAACTCAGTTTGCTTCATTGTCTTTGAAATAATTGAAATAGCATTTTCATGGAATCACTTTCAATTCATGTGTTTAAACTCGTCTGACATCGGTATACCAGAATTTTCTATCTATTGTCTGATCACCCAGTCTCCTGCAGGTTGCTTGTTAGCGGTTTAGTTTACTGAAATGGAATATGCATCCATAAAGAACGCTCTCTCCAAAGCTAGCAGATGAGCACACTCATTGATGTAATGCTCTTCCCTCCTCAAAGTTGTTCTTTGATAATTTGTGTGTTTTTTTAACTTGATGTTTAAGGCTGCCCAGTTACAGATGCTGCAGTGTAGCTGGTCTTTTAAGACACTTTGAAATATTAACTTATTTGATTGTGTTTTCTTAGGGGGAAATGACGGGTGGGAGAAAAGGGCAAGAAAATTAAAATGATTCTTAAAGTTTAAGTGTTTGGGGAAACTACTCAGCTAAAGTTTTATAAAAATCTGACTTGAGTGTTTTTGTTTTTTTTCTTCATTTGCTGTGCTTACATAACAGTGTGACACCATCGCCACAACAGGTTCGGGTCTGTCCTCCCCGTATGTTACCTGAAGATGGACCTAATCTTTCCTCTGCTCGTGGCATTTTGTCGCTTATCCAGTCTTCTACTCGTAGGGCTTACCAGCAGATCTTGGATGTGCTGGATGAAAACCGCAGGTGACTGGCCATCAGACACTCTCGCCAGCTTCGTTGCATTCTTTCGGCTCCTTCTAGTGGATTGTGGTGTCTTTCTTTTTTGTTTGCACCTTTGTCTCTTTCTAAGATGCAGTGGTTTAAACAGTTTGCTTTGCTTTCTTTTAATTTGAAATTATTGTCCAAAATTCACATTTCATAAGATTCTGTTAGCTTTTCTTCAGTCAGGGAAAGCATTTACTTAATAATTACACACAGGAAGAATAACGATTTTTCCAAAGGTTTTGTTGACTTGTTCTAAGTACTCGAGTCCATTTTGGCTATGCTAGGAGTACTATTGGATTGAGTATAGGATGTTGAACTAGAATGTATTAATTTTCTTTAGTAAGTCTTTTTATTTCATCATTTATGGTACTAATGTGGTTGATTAATTAAACAGATTAGAAACATTGATGTCAGTGTAGCTGCCAGGATTTCCCTTCCTCCCCCCAATTCCTCTAAATAGGAATTTCTAGGCCTGTGTTGAAAATCCCAGGTACTGTTTGTCTTTTTGAAAATCCAATCTTTTTCCATATTAATAATTTTTGAACATCAAGTAAAATCATTAATAGCATACTTAGACTTGTTCATACAAATAAAGTTTTTGCCACTTTTTTTGTCCTTACTTCATTACTACGTAGTATTTTTTTTTAAGTTGAAACTTAGGAAGCTTTCTGGAAAAGTATGGGATAAGTATAGTCTGTTTTGTTTTCACTCCTAACATTTTATCTAGTAACTGAGAGTTAGTGTTGACTTTTGCAATTTGAAGAATCCTCTGGCTCTTTCATAAACCTGACTTCTTACCTGAGGAACTGATATGTGTATGGCTGTTCTGGACAAACTTTCTTATTGAGTACTTTGATCCTCACACAAGCCTCTGGGGTTTTTCCCATATTTCATAGGCAAGTTGTCCATATTGCTCAATAGGAGTTTCTGAGCCTTTCCAGGCTGGTCTAGTAGTATACATTTGGGCCCAGTGACTTAAAGAGCTTAAAGAGAAAGCCCATGGCAGAGGGGAAATTTTCTATATATATATATATATATATATATATATATATATATATATATATATATATATCTCCCCAAGGGTTTCAAGACCCTTTTATGCTCTTTGAAGCTTCAAGGTTATACTTCTAACTGGTTCTTGACATACTTTTAAGCTTGATGTGACTTAGAATATTTGAGGCCTGGGGAAGAAGCAAGGTTTAAAAAAAAAAAAAAAGAAAGCATATATATATGGAGTCACTCAGATCCCGTCTTGATCCACTCCACTGAGTAGCTAGCTTCATGATGAACTTTAATAAATTACTTATCTTCTCTAGTCCTTATTTTTCTCATCTATTACATTAAGAAAATATGGAGGGTAATAATATTAACTTAGTTTTCTGGATTCTTGTGAGGAATCTCTCCCCTATCGCCTACCACCACCACTTTTATTTCACAGTAGGGATAATGGCCTCTAATTTTATTCAGTATGGTGGGAGATCCTTCAAAAGAGACTGAATATAAGGTACCTGGAGCTTAAGAACTACCGTAGTATTTCCGAAGGCCTGTTTTCTCTACCTTCCTTAAAATAAATTCATTCTTTACCTGGTATCCTCTTTAACTTTTTAATTACAGTCGGTCCTTAGAAGAAACCAGATTATTAGGTCAAATTATAACATATCAAATGCTATTACAGTGAAAATATATGAATGAGAAAGATACTTATCAGTCCTATGTATAATAGGATGTATGTGAAGATAATCCTATGTATCTTCACAGAAAGATACTTATAAATTAAAAAATAGCTAGATGACAAAGTGCCGGTGCATACACACAGTTCAATGCAATTATATGGAACTTGTAAAAAAGTTGGATTTTTTTTTCTTCTTAATAATGGAAAAACATTTTGACTCTAGCTCACGAGTACAAAATCAAAATCTTAATGTAAAATTTAATTTTTATTTTTATATTATGAAAAACTATTTTGAGCCCTAAGTTTTATCTATTTTTTCATTGTAATGAAATGATAACTTTAAAATCTCTTTTCTGGAAAGGAATTATGTTTTTTTATTCAGTTAAATGAGATTACTTTTTAAATACATAAAGTAGTTGTATTAATTTTTTGCTCCTGGGCACACACCATTGTTATCTTGGAGCCTAGCAGATTAGATTCTTATTAGTCTATTGGATACTTTCATTATTGAAAGGGTTTTGTTTTTGTGTGTGTGTGTGTTTTTTTTTTTATCGTTGCATTTCAATCTCTTGCGATCTAAATGCTGAACAAGATTTAATCAGAATTGTTAAGTGCCATATCAGTATTTATCTCTACTATAAGAACTGTCTCATATGACTTTTCAGATACCAACACTAGGAATGTGAAATTTGGATAATGGTCTACTTGCATGGTTTTAAAATGATACTGCTTATAAAGTTTCAAGTGCCTTTATGTTCTTTGCTTTGTGCATCATTTTTTCCTTTCTATTTTACTACTCTTGGCTGTTACGCTAATGTAATATCTTATCTTTGGTCTTATGCTTTCACATTAGGTAGAGTTAAATTAAGCTAGAGTTATTTGACAGTCAGGAAGGGAGGGAGGGAGGAGAGAGGGAGGAAAGGAAGAAGGAAGAAGATAGTTTGTCATAAAATAATGCAGATTCACAGTTGCTTAACATAAAAAGGGACACTGTTGAAAGGTTTATTTATGTATTACCTATTCATTTTCTCATCTTATGAGAACTTACATGATCTAAAACCAAGCTCAACATGAAGACAAAAGTAAAATGAATGTTCACATTAGCAAAGTTAATTTATCAAAGCGCCTCAGACAAGCACAAGGTATGTTCTTTGGATTTTAGATGCTATTATGACTTAACCCTTGGCTGGTTAGGAAATGCTCAACTCTTCTGATATCTGCTAGAGCGCCATATCTCATTCTCCAATGCAAAATATTAACATTTTTAAGAAGAGACTTTCTATGTAAGAACATTATTTAAACACTGACATATTAGTTAGCCATGCTTAGCATGTTTAAGTTTTATTTTTAAAAGGGGCTTGATTATTTTTATACAGTTTTTCTTTTGCATATTCTCTAAGCTTTGAATATGTAAGAAACCACCATGTACATAATTTTATATTTTTTGCAAGTGTCCGTATAAATATATTAGTTGGAAAACCTAGAATGCAAAGATGTAGTTGAAATGGTGTTCATTATTTATAATTTATCTTTTTAAAATATGTGTATAATTCCTGGTCTCCCAACTAAATTATTTATTTACTGTAGCAGTTTTCATTTTTTTAAACAAACACATATTCTGTTAAGTCAGATTATTTTTTACTCAAGATGGTCAATATCCAAGTTAATGCTGGAACTTGGAGAGCCTTGAGTCTCACTCCCTTTTGTCACATTAATCAGAAAACATACTGTTGAACACATTATCAAACTTAAAAAAGATTTGTAATGTAATTAAATTATACTTATGAAAGAAAGTGGAAATATGCCAAATGCCTGTCTAATTTACTCTTATATGTGTCAATTGCCAGTGTAAGAAGACAAAATGAAATACGTTGTGAAAGGTAACTGTAGCTATCTTCTGGCTCTGCATTCTAAAAGGGAAATCTCTGTGGTGGAACATACTGAATATGACAGATCCATTTGAATATGTTAGCATGAATTTCTTTCAAAACTTTAGGTAGCACATAGCATTGGCTTTATTTAAACATTCTCATGTTAGCATAATGTAAGATTGTAGTTAACTAGTAACAGTTTTCCTAATGCCACAGAGCAAATATATTAGTAGGATTCGATGGGTTTAAAACCTGTCTCAAGCCATATGTGATTTCTCACTGTTATTTAATGAACAAATTAGAATTCTAGCAGGTCTTCTCCAGAAGACCTTCTCTGACTCCCTTATCCTCTAGGCTCCAGAAATTTATTAAAGCAACAGTAGTGCCTTTAGGAAGCATATAAGCTAACCATTAAAATTTTCTTTTAATATATTGAATTGACAAAATAATAATTATAGCCAAAATTCTACAAATATGTCAACTTACCAAAACAAACAAACAAAAACTAGTGCATTTTCTATTAAATGTTTACTATAATTAAGAATTGCCTTGGTATTTAAATTCAGGCTAAACCTGATCAGTACTTAGAGAATGAGACATTCAAAACAGAATGTAAGGATTCCTAAAATCCTTATATGGATCCTATCCCCAACCTTCTCTCTGTATTTAGTAAATATTTCTGATTACTTTTTTGGGGAATTGACCAGTGATCTTGTGGAACTTTCGTTTTCTGATTTTAAAAATTAAGATTTCTTGGAAAAATTTCTGCTTACCTAGGTAAGGAACTAATTGTCCTCTGGAAACCAAGTATGTACTGAGCTAAGTGACATTCCCCACAAAGTTTTCCAGTGCACCTTAGTCTTCATTTCCAACAGCCCTGTATGTCACTCTTGGTTGTCTCGAGATCGGACTCAGTGTTGTGGCTTCTAGAATATGCTGTAGTTGTCCCTCCCAGCACGGCTGTGGTCTCAGCTTCAGAACTGAGGCTTGCAGCTTTGCTCGGAGAGCTCAGGGTTCGAATGAGACACAGCTACGTGAAGTTATCGGGCACTGATCAAAATTAAAGTGGCGGGAAGGAAGCAGTTGTGGGATTTGTGAGTAATGTGAAATTTTTAGTTTTTGAGATGGGCTGTTGCTATCAATGAGCAACTATGATCATGCAGGTGCTTCTAACCGGTTCTTGACATGCTTCTAAAATTGATGTGACTTTTTTCCAACTTCAAGAGAGCAATTACACTTTTTAAACAGAGTTGTCCTCTGTTTTGAATTTCATAATTAAAATACAAGCACCCAAAATTATTTTATATGTTGGTGCTATTTTGTTAACTATAGATTTCCTTCATTTTTAACCCATTGAAAATACTAAATTTATGAAAATCTTAAAATGGAGGACTTGGGAGACAAAGATGTTTAAAGTATTTGAAATATATTATATTGTATTGGAACATACAATATAATCCTAGTTGACATTTATTTGTCTTGTTTTTGCTTTTATTTTATTACTTCTCTGTTTCCTGATTCTATCTTGTGCCTTCTCCAAAACTGCCTTAGACCCGTGTTGCGTGGTGGGTCTGCTGCCGCCACTTCTAATCCTCATCATGACAACGTCAGGTAAATTTTGAGACTTTGTAACTACCAGGGTGAATAGCTGGCTGAATTTGTATTTTGCAGGCAATAATGCATGTAGTAGCCATGCCTTTATATTGTAGCTTGAGCCTCTACAGTTTTCTGAATGAGTACATCCTGCTTTTCCCTGAGAACAGTGAGTAGTCTTTGGCCACCAGAGTGAGGAAAACACTTAATTGTACTACAGTATCGTGTATCCCCATGTTTTTATTTAAATCCAGTTTCATTAACTTACAGGAGATCATGCTAAAATGGAAAATGTCACCTTGGATCTTGTCTTATATGCATCCTTTTCATTGTTAGCCCGAGCTTCTGTCCAGCGTTTTCTTTTTATTTAATTGTCTATAATATCATCTTCCACGTATAGAGAAAGCTGTCGATAAGGCATCATCTTAAATTGGGAAAAATCAGCATTGACAGTTTGGGTAAATTAAACATAAAGGGAATTTAAGAATTTTTATCATCTGTTGATTTCAGCTTTTCTCTTATTTTTGCCCCTTTCACACACGCTTAATATGAGTAATAATTTCTTCTGTTAAGCACAAGACAGATAGAATAGCACATATAAATACTTAAGGTTCTTACGTGCCAAAATCCCCATTTCCCACATTCTAGGGGAGGAGGAATTTGGGTTAGTGTTCACAGATACCATTACTGTAATTATTTTCAGAGTTTATTTTGTTTATTTAAGCACAAATACATTATCTGTAGCATTAGACTTAAAACTGGCAGCATTATTTCTGTGATGAAAGGAAGCTGGCACATTCATTTTTAGGCAAGAGAAGAGGGAACCGGCAGTTTCTCACTGTCGGTAGTTCAGATTAGAAGAATTGGAAGTGCCTTAGGGATCTTCCCACTCTGCCGACCTGTTTCTTCTGACAGCACTAACCACATCCATTGTAAGTTTTCCAATTCACTCCTAAGTTTGTCTCTCTATTTTCAACCAGTGATCTGACTTAAACTTCTTTTGGTTTTAAGTTAAATTATATAATTTTTTTCCCTATCCTTAAATTTTTTTTGCAAATGAAGGTGTTTTTTTTACAGATATTGAAACCCTTAGTTAATTCAGAATTTTAATTGTAAGTAATCCTTTTCAGTTGTACTTCGTTCTTTGTTCAGTTCAGATTCCCTGACCTTTGAAGTAATTGCTTCTATTGTTTTAATTTTTCCCCAATTATTCATCTCATGCATGACCTCACAGAAATAGAACAGTTGTGGTATTTGGAGTTTTTTTTGTTGTTGTTGTTTGTTTTTTAGATAAAGGGTAGAGAAGAGGTGTCTCCAGCCCTTATTTTTTCTACTAATCATTTAATTCTGTCATAATGTTCAAAGGAATAATTAATGCAGATGTTTGTAGCATCTACTAGCTTTACAGCTTACTTCTCTAACTGCTGCAGTTACTCTCGGTATCCCAGAACATTCATTCTGTCCCCATGAGAAAAGGAGCAATTAATGAGAAAGCAAGTTAGTTTAGCCATCAAAGGCACATTTCGAGATTGTTCTATATTATTTAGAGTTAGTACTACCATGGTATTGAAAGTGCATCCTGTCTGGTGTTTTTGGGTGGTTTTAAATTGTATTTGAAACAAAAGAATTTTCTAAATAGACTTGTTTTTAACATGTCTGCATAAGAACTGTATTTCTCTTTATACCCCTTTGTGTGGTAAGGTGCTTTTTATAATGGAGACCTACTTAGTATATTAGAAAATATCTATGTGCCAATTTTGTAGATTGCAGAGGAGTAACTTTTAAATTCAGTTTATTTATATTCTCATTCAGAACAATTAATATGCCATTTTGCTGAAATAGCCATACAGGATTAAAATAGGATATAAACATGTGAGGTGTGTAAATTATATCTCAATAAAACTGTTCATTAAAAACATATTTAAAAAGTGGAAATCCAGACAAAGAGGAAGAGTATTTGTGTATTTGTTTCTCAGAAGTTTATTGTCATTCATTTAAAAATCAGTGTCCTTTTAGAAGTAACTACATTTGAACAAGAAGTACTTTTTTGTGTGCTTTTTCTGGAGTTTGTCTTATTGGCTTTCCAGTATTATTGTTTTCTACACAGCCTCTTAATTATTGATTATTCAGGATCTCAATGTAGTGACAAGATGTATTCAGGCGATTTTACAGTAGAGAGTAATTGGGAAATAAGAAGAGTAGAAATGACAAGAAAAGAGGAGGAAGAGAAATAAAATGATCAGTCTTATTTTGCTAGCTAGAGTTAGTGTCCCTGCCAGTGAGTCTCAGCAGGAGCTCTTTGCAGCCACACATGGACATAAGTTTGTCTAAGTATCGTATATTGTTATATTGTAGAGTGGCAGCCCTCAAGTCTTTTCACCCACGGGTCCTATTTTAACAATGCCAATCCCTCTGAGTTGAAAAGTGTCTCCTTTTTTGTATCTTTAGTCAGGATTCTTCTTATTCTCAAAGTTTTAAGACATTTGCCAAAATTTAAGGTAATTGTTATCTTAAGTTGTTTTCTTTCCTTTATTAGTAACAACTCAGATTGTAAAATACTTTAGGAATTTATATTGTAATTCCAAACTTTTGAACAATTCTTTGAACACTATACATTACATTACATGACTTGTCAGGTACTGTTAATTCTATTCTAATATTTAATTGTATTTTTATTTCTTATCTGCTAGGTATGGCATTACAAATATAGATCCAACAGTTGAAGGAACTGCAGATGACATGAATGTTGTAGATGCAGTTTCATTAAGACGACAGGTATTTAATATATCAAATAAGATATAATCCTAAATTATATTCATTTAATGTTTAAAGTAACAGTTCCAAACATTTCATCACTTTCTCTCCTGTGGAAGTAATGAATATAAATATTTTATCAGCCAAACTACTTATTGCACCATAATTGAATGTCCTGTTTTGATTAAAGATGTATTAAACCATCGTTTACATGTTTTGATCAGCATAAAACAGTATTGCCTGAATGGATTGATGTAGTTCTGATGAATAACAAGAATTTTGACATTTTAGCAAACCAGGAAAGCCCTAAAGGCTTGTTGGCTTTTGGAAATGTGGAACAGTCTCTTGGGCCTCTGTTTTTGTGTTTGAGAACTGCATTTTGGAAACTGCTCTCAGTGTTCAGAGGGTCTTTATATGCCTATTTCTCATTTTCTGTGCTCCTTCTTAGAACTACAGTTGCATATGTATATTTTTTTTAATAGTTTTATTGACTTCAGAGGAGGGAGAGGGAAAGAGAGATAGAAACATCAATGATGAGAGAGAAAAATCTGAATATTTTTAATATGTACTCCCAGCCTCTAGAGTCAGATAGACATACACATGTGGGGAAAGCATATTCAGTATTCTAATTGTGTCTATGCCAAATAGATATGGAAGGGAAAAAATTCGAAGTAAAATATTTCTAAGTAAAGATCAGGAAACAAAATATTTTAGCATAAGAATAAATCAGAATATCATTTTAAAGATTTAATATAATACAAAGTTAACATGAAGCAAATACTTTTTCATTTTGAGTCTCATTTTGTTGAAATGTAAATGGAAGCTATAATTTTTTACATATTTCATATATTTATTTATACTTCGCTTATTGAAGAAAGTGATTGAAAGTGGTTTATCATTGATTTCACAATTATACCAACAACCTTGTTTTCTGAAAGTGTAATTTTAGTATGTTTTCACAGTGTTCATTTAAGCCTTAACTTAGAGTATGGGACAGACAAAGATGCAGTAGTTATAAACTAAAGGCCAGTGCACAACATTCATGCATGGGGTGGGAGGTCCCCCTTTCACAGTCCGGGACCCCTCATGGGATGTCCATCCCGAGGGGTCCTTAGCACTGCCATGGAGGCAGGAGAGGCTCCCGCCACTGCCGCTGCGCTTGCCTGCGGTGAACCCAGCTTGTGGCTGAGCAGCGTTCCCCCTATGGGAGCCCACTGACCAGTAGGGGGAAGCTCCTGTGTTGAACATCTGCCCCCTGATGGTCAGTGCACATCATAACAACCGGTCTTTCTGCCATTCGGTCTATTTGCATATTAGCCTTTTATTATAAACTAGAGGCCCAATGCACAAAATTTGTGCAAGAGTAGGCCTTGCTTCCCCTGGCTGCTGGCACTGGCTTCCCTCTGATACCCAAGACCCATGCTGCCTTCTGGCCACCAGCACAAGCCCAGAACCTGGGCTTCCCTCTCAGCCCCAGCTTCATGTTCAGAAAGACGTCCATTCTAATTAGCATATTACACTTTTAGTATAGACTAGAGGCCCAGTGCATGAAAATTAATACACTTGGGAGGGTCCCTCAGCCTGGCTGTACCCTCTCCCAATCCAGGAGCCTTCAGAGAATGTCCATACAACTGTCCTCTGCAGGAGGCAACCAGCATGCTAATAGGGAAACAGAACCTGCCAGTGAGGACTGGCTCTGCCCCACCACCGTCATTTTCCACCCCCAATCAAAATCCCCTCCCTCTGTCCACTGGCACCTGCCTTGGTTGGCCTGATGCTGCCCACTTGCTAGCCCCGCCTCATGCTGGCCGGTTGTCAATTTGCATATTAGGCTTTTGTTATATAAGATAAATAATTTGCACATATGCTTTGAGACTTTAAAAGGAGTAGAAAGCCAGTTGGGAAACTGAGTTTCTAAGATAATTAATATAAATGGAGTCACCAGAAGATTCTACAGAATTTATATTTGTATTTATGACTTGGTAATAAGGGAAGCAGCTACTTCTACAGCTCCCTTTGCTCCATTTCTCATTTGGGAACCCAACAGTCTGGAGCCCATTTAGTGTAGTGATGAGCAGCTCAGGGGTCACTAGCTTCAGGATACAAAATGTAACCCACTTTAGGGATGAAGGGTATTAAAAAGCTGCCTTGAGCCCTAACCGGTTTGGCTCAGTGGTTTAAGAGTGTTGACCTGAAGACAAAAGGATTCCAGTTTTGATTCTGGTCAGGACCACATTGTCCTGGTTGCAGACTCAATCCCCCAGTAGGGGGCATGAGGAGACTGCCGATCAATGATTCTCTCTCATCATTAATGTTTCTCTCTCTCTCCCTCTCCCTTTTCTAAAATCAATTTTTAAAAAAAAAAATTTTAAAGCTACTCAGAAATGCTCAGATAGAAATATCTTAATGATTCAACACAGTGCCACTTTTCTATTGGCAATAAAATAAGATTGGTAGTGTAAGAACGTAGAACCAAATCCCATGGAACCAAATAAACTACTCATTTTGAGTAGTGGGAAAGGTAATTTTTAAACACTTCTGTTGTTTACTGAATTGGCCCCAACAAAAAAGTGGTTGCTTAGCACTGATAAATCAGGTGATTGGAATGGCCATCCCCACCTTACATGGGCTGCAGGTTCCATCCCCACGGGGTCACAACCAATTGATATTTTTCCCATCAGTGTTTTTCTTTCTCTATCTCCCTCCCTCTCTCTCTCCCATTCTCACTCTCTCCCTTCCTCTCTCTGAAATCAATAAACATTTTTGCTTATTAAAAAAAAGGGGGGGGGGGGGGGGAAATAGACCCTTTCTAACTCAAAAATTTGGAAAAGGGAAAGGGAGAAGAGTATTTAAGTGAATCTTAGCTGTTAATAGGTAACTTTTCTATATAGTTTATTTTTACATTGCTCCAAATGAAACTTCGCATGTTTATAATAATTTTGACAAATTATACTACTTTATAAGAATTTGATCACTCCTTACATTAAAGCTTCTATTTTGTTTTTCACTTAGATAATCAAATTAAATCGACGTCTACAACTTCTAGAAGAGGAGAACAAAGAACGGGCTAAAAGAGAAATGGTCATGTATTCAATTACGGTAGCATTCTGGCTGCTTAATAGCTGGCTCTGGTTTCGCCGCTAGAGTAACCTCAGCTCTCAAAAAATACTGTTTCAACAGCTGGAAATATAAAGAATTTGCAAACTTCTTTGTTTCTGTGTTTGCATTGAATATGCCATTTTATAGTCCATGCCCTGAAAATGTACTTCTTCCAGAAGGGAAGGAGAAAGACTCATGTTTGCAGAGGTAAAGATCTATTCTGTCACCTAGCTGTATTCCCTTGTAACTAGTCCTGCAATGACGCCTACTTAAAATTCTCTTTGCATGTTTTGTAAATAGGCTCTGATTTGTTTTTTTAAAGGAATTAATTTTTTGCCACATCAGTTTGCACAGGTAATTCTCTGAATGGGGGTGGATAGAGTATAGATTTAGAAAAGTATCTGTAAAAGAAAAATCCTTGACTTTGACCTGTTTCCCAAACATTGTTAAACAGTTTTGTTAATGGACATGCTTGCATCCACATTCAACATTAACACATCTGAAAGTCATGGTCCGGTGTTAGAATTAATAAATTCAAGCCACCTCATGTTTCTCCTTTATTATTAAAATAAGTCCTAATATTTTCAGCAGTTTATCAATATGTGTGTAAAATATGTGTGCTTACTTTTATTTTAGTTTTTCAGGTGGTTTTCTATAAAGGACATTTTTACTAAGTTCATGTGTGAATAATTTAAAAAACTACAGAATAAGGTACAATTGCAGTGTATTTAATAAACTATCAACCAAAGCAATATTTGTTGATCGGAAGATTTTTGTTTCATTATACTGTGCTGTGAGCTCTATCGCATGCTCTTATATGAACCCAAGTCTGTTTCAGGCGCGAGTCATGCAGCTAAGGGCTTGGCAGGAGCAAGACCCTATGTGCTGCTCTTAAGGAATTGACAAATCAATGGAGGAGGCTGGGAATAGGTTTATTAAAGAATTAGAGGATGATAAAAACAACTTTATTGATGAAAAGCAATTTGAGATACATGCTAAAAGGTAGGGAGAGGGGAGAGTTTCACATGGTGGATACAATAAAGTGTAAAGATTTTAAAACAAGATTGAATATGGAAGTGAAAGTGAGAAATAAAAAAGTTTGTAAATGACTAAGTACATGGGGAAGGGGGAGTGTACAAATATTGGCAAAGCTGGCATGTCCCCAAAATATACATAAACACAGATGGTCCATAGGCTTTTAGGGACTTTATTCATGTCAGCAAACTACTAGTGAAATAGCAGGTAAATGACTTACCAGCTACGTAAGCTGATGTGCTTCTTCGAGCCATCCTTTCTGTGCCCTCTGGAATGGGAGGCTTGTCTGTCTCCATGACTGTGGAGAATTGGGTCATCTAAGGCAGTGGTTGGCAAACTCATTAGTCAACAGAGCCAAATATCAAAGTACAATGATTGAAATTTCTTTTGAGAGTCAAATTTTTTAAACTTAAACTATATAGATAGGTACATTGTTATTAACTTAATTAGGGTTCTCCTAAGCTGGCCTCTGCTAAAAACTCAAGGGGCCAAAGAGCTGCATGTGGCTCGCGAGCCACAGTGCTGGCCACTGATTTAGGGTGATGTGAAGAGTGTATGCACTGCCGAAGCCGGTTTGGCTCAGTGGTAGAGCGTCGGTCTGCAGACTGAAAGGTCCCAGGTTTGATTCCGGTCAGGGGCATGTGCCTTGGTTGCGGGCACATCCCCGGTAGGGGGTGTGCAGGAGGCAGCTGGTCGATGTTACTCTCTCATCGACGTTTCTAGCTCTCTATCTCTCTCCCTTCCTCTCTGTGAAAAATCAATAAAATATATTTTTTTTAAAAATTGTATGCAGTGTCGCTGCCCCTCGTGTTGTTCGACTCACACTATGTAGTCTGTTAGTCACTTGTGTTTTAATTTTATGGCTATAGTAGTTTGGCATTCATTTAATAAGTATTGAATCTTTGCTGAGAGCTATGTACTAAAGATAGAATTCATCAGTTCATTCCATGGAATGTTCCTAGTAGCCAAGATAGAATTCATTCATTGATTCCACAGATTATTTCTAGTAGTGGCCTTACTTTGTGTCAGACGCTGTATTTGGTACTGAGCATACCAGGAGTGAATAAAAGAAACACATCCCTGTACCTATGGAGCTTACAGTCTTACGGGGGAAAGTGAAATTTAAGAAGTAAGTACAAATAAAAATGCCATCACTATTGTGGTGAGTACTATCAATGAAAGAGGGCTAAGGGAAGGTAAAGGGACGCCTGCTTGTCATGAGGTAGTTAGGGAAGGCTTCTCAGAAAAAGGGATATTTGTGCTGAAGGATGAAGAGGTCTTAGCCAGAGATTAGACTTTGGGGGGAGGGGAGGAATTTGGGGGCCTGGATAGAAGAGAGGCCTGAAGCAGGAAGGAGCTGATGAATTAATGGATGAGAAGCATTAGTTGGTCCCTGTTGTCTTATTATGATGGACATACAAGCAAAAACATTTATGTTACATTGTTACAGGTATGATAATAGTAGTTTGGGTATGTGCTAACTTGATGTATTGGAATCATGCACTCTGGGAAGCTTTCTCAGGTAGGAAATAATGTAATTTAAACTTTAAGGATAAATTGGGATTTGTAAGAGCAGGAGGAGTTCTCTTTACACAACAAATGGATTCAGAAATAAAGTGCCTGTGTGTTACTAATTTTGAGGAACAGCTACAATGTAAGTATTGTAAGTTATTTCTACAATCTGAAGCACAATGAACATAAATAAATGAGAAGAAAATGCAGGAATGATCTACATTCAGAAAATTGTAGATTTTTAGTATTTTATATCGTAATATGGTAAATACACTTTTATTAGGTTGTCTTTTAAAGATTATGATATATAGAAACCTTTTTTTGAAAGACTAATTTTTTTCTAGGTATTTATAGTTCTTTATTGTGAAAAATGCAAACAGGAAAATAAAGTATAACGACTCGCTGTAGTCTTGTCCCTATATATGACAATGAAGATTTTTTTTATTGCTTTATTTTTTGGTTGATGTATTTTTAAAACATGACATTTCCCCCCCCAAACACAAAAACATGCATTTCTAAAAAATAAAGACTTTTTTATATTACTATAAAGCCATTGTCAGTTGTAAATATTCACAATAAATCCTTAATATTACCCAAACCAATCCTGTATAAGGTCTGCATAATACATTCAGATGAATAACATCTCTTTGTTATCAATATAGAATAGTTTCCTTAATACATCCCACTTATTTCTTCCCTGTACATTTTCTTGTTGAAAACAGAAGGCTATTGTTGTTTACTGTCCTTTAGAATTTGAATCTGTTTATTTCCCTGGATTTCTAGTAAGTGAGGAATTTGGTCTAAAAACTTGATTACATTTAGGTTAGTTATTTTTTCTTAAAGTATAAAGAAATACAGGGAAAAGGCCCTACTTTGACTTCCAAAATAACTTCTGTTCCCTCTCATCTTCCCTTCCTCCGTCGCTCATCTCTTTTCCCCTCCCTCTCTTCCTCTCCACACAAGAATGGAGAATTAAAAAATTCAAACAGCACAAAAGGTTTCAAAACACATTGAAAGATTCTCTTCATTGCACCCCAGAGACAACTACTGGTGATAATTTTTCCTATGAAAGTGGTTTGCATTTACCAACATTAAATGTAAAAGGCTGATTTTTTTTTAATCACCTTTAAAAAATCATTTGGACTAGAGGATTAATGCAGCTGTCTAGCTAATATTCCGTTAATGAACTTCTAACTTCTAAAAGGGTATCTTAAATGTAATTCTCAGGTGATTCAAACTGCTTGTATTTGTATTTTGTTACACAATTCGACTTCTTCGCTTGGAGACTCCACACAGACAGCCCAGGAAACCGATGACAATCTGACTGAGTGCAAACAGGAGCTCAAGGAACCCCACAAGCAGTAAGCCTACAAATGCTGAGAAAAAGATAGTCCTGTGCCTCTTTTCTTTAGGACTGACGTGCAACTCACTGGTCATGGTGTCATTCTTGATGGGAGAATTCAAACTGTTAGAAGCTACGCAAGATCCATTGGAGAGCCACTGTAGATTGAAGGATTGGGGATCAATCCTTCCAGAAAAATAAAAGAGAAGATGTTTAAGAATTTCTGTGGCCATCAAAAGAATACAACATTGTACCCAAGAAAGGGAAAATATGGTAAAACAAAGTATTGAAATGTGCCTTGAAGTTATAGCTAAGATCAGACTTTCTGAGCATATGTCTATGTACTCTACTAGGTTAAAGCTTTTTGTTCATTATCCCACTATCCCATCATTCAACAAATTTTCTATGTAGCCCTGGCCAGTGTGGCACAGTGGTAGAGTATTGGCCTTCAACTGAAGGGTCTCAGGTTTGATTCCCAGTCAAGGGGATGTCCCTTAGTTGAGAGTCATTCACAGCCCTGGTCCGGGTGTGTGCAGGAGGCAACTAGTCAATGTGTGTCTCTCACATGGATGACTCTCCCTCCTTACCCTCCCTCCTATTCTCCTTAAAAATCAATGGGAAAAATGTTCTCTGGTGAGGATTAACAAAAAACAAAAAATGTTTCCTATGTCAAAAGTGGTTGAGCACCAACCATTGCATGTGGTTCAGACTATATGCAGTCGTTCTTCCACTTGCTGAAGATGTGAAAATAAAGGAGCTCCCCCTTTGAAGGAGTTTGATTCTTAGTGCAAAACCACAGTGGCATCTGCTCTTAAACCAGAGGTACCGTTTTCACTCGAGAGACATGTTAAATACTATATCTGATTATATCTGAAATCTATATAGTTTTATCGGCCGATGTCACCCTAGTAAATCAATAAAAAAGAAAAAGAAAATGATTAAAGTGATTTGTACCCATTATAACAAGGTATGGATTATGAAAAACATTTTGCCTGATGTGATTTTTTTTTTTTATTCACTCTACAGTAGACCAAGTATTCTTAGTGAATTTGCATTTTGGTACCAGCAACTGCAAGTCTACCTGGGAAAACAAGTGTTTGAGCAAATGGAATATGAGAGTGCTCCTTGCAATTTGCAGCAAGCCTAGGATCCCTCTTGTGTAACTGTTTACTCTCTGTAACTATCGCCCCAACTAGAGTGAGAATACCTTGAGTTCCATTTCCTCCAGAGCCCAGAGCTTAGCCTGATACCTGGTGAGCTGTCATCTGCTACAGATTGAATGAGCACGTGCGGCATCTGTGGTTGCAATCTCTCTAATTTTAGACTTCAGATCTGGTAGTAAAGGGAATGTCTGGATTTTAAATCTTAATGGCTGTGGTATGAAAGTTTTGAGAGATTTTTCTTTTTTAATGTAGTAAGATAAAGGAAAAGGAGGGGGAAACTTTATGTAAGTGAATGTCTGATTATTCTTTAATTTAGAGAGAAGTAATGAATTAGATTGTTCTTTTCTAGTTTTTCACATTGTGCTGAGGTTTTCACACAAAACCATCTTATGAAACTGAAAGGAACCATTTACTTATAATTCTTCATTATTGTTGCTACGTGACATAAACTTTTAATTCATTCCTATCCATACATCTATTTCTAGTGTGTCCCCATAATCCATCTGCTGCTTGGTTTCTTTTAGGGCTTATAAGTAAGGCTCTAGATTTTATTTTGTTTCTATTCAATTTTTTAAAGTATAGAAGTAATCTGTGCTTCTGGCTTACACATTTCATTAGCTCAGAACTGTGGGAAGTCAGGGCTTCCTCATCACCATTCTCCAAAGGTGAAAGTTAAGCTGCTGCTGTGTGTTGCCATACATTTTTAAGGCAAGGATAAGCCATCCGAGTCAATTATCCTTTAAAGGAAGGCCATACCCAAAACATCTGAACGTGGTGATTCCTCCACTTTTTATGAGCTTTTGCCAGTTGGAATTAATGTGCTAAATCCCTAAGAATCTGTCCCAGTAGTTTCATTTAAAAAAAAAAAAAAAAAAAAAAAAAAAAAGCGTTGTGTGAGCACCACAATATTCTAATCTAAGTAGCTTCGGTGTAAGACAATCATGGAAAGGTCACTCACCTTAAGTTGTCAAATGAGAATTTGCAGGTATTGTTGCTTGGAGAATTACAGATGAGAGGACCTTCCGTGAGAGCATTCAGGGATACCAGCATGCAGTACACTGCACCAATGATTGTGATTATATTAAAAAATGATGAAAGAAACATCTGAAAAATAAGGTAGTTCATGTGCATATGTTATTACATGTTCTTTGTTTCAAGTTTCAGCATCAGATCTATGGTTGCCCTTCTCTGGCCACCTTGTAGCCCTAGATCTTAAGATCACAGTTTGATTGGGTGTGAATTACAGAAGAAGGCAGAGGGCAAAGTGCCACTAAAAGAGTGATGGTCTTGCCGTGTTTTCTGAAAATTCTGAGCCTTGACCATTTTAACTGAGCATTGAGGTCTGGTTCCTCTGTCATATTCTGTGTACTTCCTACTCCATAGAACCTTGGCTAGAACATCATCACCCACACTTTGATGTCCACTCTCTCGACTTCTAAATCTTTAGTCTGGACTAGGCCCTGACCTTGAAAGTGGCCTGAGGTCAGCATTTTGCATCGAGGTACAACAGGGCTTCTCGATCTCAGCACAACTGGCCTGTGGGCATTTTGCTGTTGGGGGCCTTTCCTGTACATGGTACAATGTCTGGCAGCATTTCTGTCTCTGCCCACCAGGTGCCAGTAACACACACTCCCCCAGGTGTAGCAACCAGAAATGTTGCCAGACATTGCAAATGTCCCCCTGGAAGCAGGGGCATGTGGGGCAGAGGGTGCATGCACCTGATTTTGGTGCAGCAGCACCACTGAGACAGAGGGAAAGACTGTAAGCATCTTTCATTTTGTGAATCAGTCACAGGAAAACAAGCGTGAGATTTGGGGATAGGAAGTGTTTTGGCCCAAATGGAAGTTGGTTTCCAAAAAGAAGTTCTGTGTTGTTTCCACGGAGTGTTGTGTTAATCCCTGTTGATTATGATTGTTTAAGTCTGCAGAAGTGAAGGGAAGGACTTCTTTTCCTTTGATGGGGTAATACTGCAGCTCCCAGAGGGTCACCTGCTGCATTCGTTAGACCTGCCTTTAAAGGGTAGGCAGAGTAAGTGACTATGTAAATAGTATGTGTCGAGGGAACTTGGGCTTTGCTATCCTTTAAGTAAGCCCAAGAGATGGATGCTATTATTCCCATCTTATGGATGAGAAAATGCAGTTCAGGGAGATTGGCAAGGTATCAGGACCTCACAGCTGGTAAACGTCAGTGCTCAGACCTAACCACTAACCAGTCAAAAGCCCAGAATGATGGGTTTGGAGTGTGATTCAAATCCTGCTTCTCCCACACTACTGTTCAATTTGCTGATCAAGAAGTGTCACTGTGTTTATATTTTGGTCATCTATTATTTCTGACTTCTCATCACTGCAGAGAGGCCTGGCTTTAGAAGGTGATTCCAACCTCTGTATTTCCCCTAGACTTGGGGTTCATTTAAAGACTCAGGAAAACCTAAGTATTCAGAGCCAAAATCAATAAATGGATAAAGGGAAGGAGCAGAGAACAGCTTAAGTAGGGGAAATAGTGGGAACAGTTAAGACAGAGGACAGTTAAGATAGGTGGTCTTGGGGACCACCTCTTCCCTCCCTCCCAAGATCTAGCCTTTGCCACTTTTTATGATGCTTTGGTCTCTACTTGAAAGATACAAGATATGGCCCTAACTGGTTTGGCTCAGTGGAGAGAGCGTCGGCCTGCGGACTGAAGGGTCCAGGTTCGATTTCAATCAAGGGCATGTACCTTGGTTGTGGGCACATCCCCAGTGCGGAGTGTGCAGGAGGCAGCTGATTAATGTTTCTCTCTCATCGATGTTTTTGACTATTTATCCCTCTCCTTTCCTCTCTGTAAAATAAAAAATAAGTGTGTGTGTGTGTGTGTATATATATATATATATATATATATATATATATATATTTTTTTTTTTTTTTTTTTTTTTAAGATACAATATATATGACTTAAACACCAGTCCTCACAGGGCTGGTGAAAAAAAGTGTCTAAAAATGTGGTTGCACCTAATCAGTATAAACTGGTGATTTAATGAGCAGCACTACTATTATTACACGATGCCCCCCACCCTTGGCCAGGAAGTCAAGCCCAATACCTGCGTGAAAAGGTGGTTTGATTATTCTCAACTCGCTGTTGTCCGCAAAGGAGAGAGAAAAATGGTCATTGAAAATATGAAAAATTTATCATGAAAAAATATGTGCGGCGGGAGGCGGGGGGCAGGGAGATATTCTTAATGGAAATATGATCTGAGAGAAAAATCTAAATATTCTGAAGTCTTTAAGTTTGAGGATTCAGAAATAATTCAGGATATCCTTCTCAAGAATGTTTGGTTCTGGCTGGTTTGGCTCAGTGGATGGAGTGTCAGCTGGCGGACTCGGGGGTCCCGGGTTCTATTTCAGTTAGGAGCACATGCTGGGTTTTGGGCTCAATCCCCAGGTATGGAGACGGGAGGGGGGGTGGGCACGCATGGAGGGAATGTCCAGGAGGCAACCAATCAATGATTCTCATCATTGATGTTTTTGTCTCTCCCTCTTCTTTCCTCTCTGAAATCAATAAAAACATTTTAAAAAAGAATTTTGGAATACAATGTAGAGGTAATTCAACGTCAAACTCCAAGGGATAATGGTTTAAAAAGAAAAGCGCAGAGAAAGGAAACTAAAAGACTGACTGACTACCTGCAATGTATCAGGAACAAAGAGAGACTATAAGTAATTAGTTATAACCCTAGATATCAAATGACAGAAAAAGGTAATTTTAAAAAATACAAATGTGTAATATTAATCTAAATATGAAACTCTTTAAACAGTGGTTCTCACCCCTGGAAATACATTAGAATCACATAGGGTATTTTTTAAAAATACTGATGCTGCATCTCAGGGGAAGTGGGAGAAGGGGAGAGATATTTTTAAGATCCTCTCTGGTGATTCTAACGTCCCCATCAGACTGAGAACTATCGCTTTCAAACCTCAAGCTCAGCCAGGAACTCGCTGTGAGTGCTCATTTATTTGTCTATGCCTTCCTTAGAGAATTATGAGCCCTCACACAGTGTTATTAAAATGTTCATGGCCTCGTAGTATAGACATTGTGACTTTGAGAGTCTGATGGATTGAGACAAAAGTTCACTTACTGGCTGTGCTACACTGGCAAATAATTTGCTTTCTCTGAGCACCAGTTTCTCTGTCAATAAAGTGGATCATATTTCAAAACTAAAGGCTTTTTTAAAGAAATAAGATAACATATTTGAATCTGTTCTGAGCATAGTGACAGAAGGGTAATAATTATTCATTATTTTCCTTTTAATCAAAATCTTATTCATAGTAGGTATGTACTAAATGTTAGAAAAAATAACTAGTGTCTTCTTTAATCACATACAAGCAATGAGCATTCTGAGTCTAGCAAACCAATCTTGTATATGCATGAGAGAACTGAGGTTACATTTTCCTTAAGTATTTAATACACAGCACAAAAATAACAATTCTTGTTATTCTAAAATTGGTTGCAGCTCTGGGTGTGATTTCTAAATCACCTTCCTTTGAAAACCTGTAGATAGTGAAACTGAAGATTGGGGTAAGGTGTGAGGCTGGCTCCAAAGTTATATTTTTATGGAGGGAAAAAAAAAACACCCCTCACACTTTCTGTATCATCATATAAGCATACTACCCTGTTTCCCCGAAAATAAGACAATGTCTTATATTAATTTTTGCTCCCAAAAATGCACTAGGTCTTATTTTCAGGGGATGTCTTATTTTTCCACGAAGAAGAATACAGTACACATTTATTGTTAAATGAAAATAAAGGAAATTTATTACCTGTATACGGTACGGTAATACGGTAGTTGTCAACACAAACCAGACAAACTGTGAATCCTACAGTATCAAGAATTTACTCATTTATTCAATGACAATCATGTCATCATCTTCTGGAACATCATCAAAACAATCCAATTCCTGAATTTCCTGTGACTCCATTTCTTTCAGAATCAGTGGACCAAATCTCTCATGTTTAGCTTAGGGGGGCCTTATTTTCGGGGGATGCCTTATATTTCACTCAGAAGGAAACCTGTAAGTAGGTCTTATTTTTGGAGGATGTCTTATTTTCAGGGAAACACGGTAATAGGACGTTCCTAAAACTGTGGTCCTGCCACTGGAACCACACTGAGATTTGTAGCTTCTGAAGCCCCAAGTGGCTCTGCTCAGCTGTCCATACTGTTGGTGCACTCTGCCCCCCAAACCTCCCCCACCAACCCTCCCCCCCACCACACACACACACACAATCCCTGCTCGGTACTCACCCCGCCTCTGTTGTTGCAGCAGGCTCTTTTCCTTGATGCCAAAGACATTGTTGTTGCTGGAATAGCCTGGAAATTACATCAACAGGAAAGAGGAGTCTTAATACTTCTCATCAGATGAGAAAGCACTTATCTCTGCCTTCTATTTATCAGCAGTTGTGGGAAATCAAGGCTCAAGAGAACAAGAAGGAAATGTGGCAACGTCCTTGACCTTGTGATCCCCATTTCAACCCTAAAGATTAAAGAGCAGGGAGGGATGGTGGGATTTCAGGATAGCAGTTTCAAATTCTCCCCTCTACATCACTTTACTCTGGGTCATCTTTAGAGAGACCTGGATTTTTTTTTTAATGTTTTCTTATTGATTTCAGGGAGAGGAAATGAGAGGAGAAATAGAAACATCGATGTTGAGAGAGAATCATTGATTAGCTGCCTCCTGGACACCCTTTCCTGGGGATGGAGCCTGCAACCTTGGCATGTTCCTAACTAGGAATCGAACCTTGACCTCCTTCCTGGTTCCTGGGTCGAAGCTCAACCATTAAGCCTCACCAGCTGGGTTAGAGAGACTCGGATTTTAAATTGAGTGAGTTATTTAGTCATTATTTTGGAAGGAGTATTTCTGAAAGAGTTATGTCATCTAAAATTCACTTTTTTTTTTTCTTTTAGTTATTATAATCTGCAGCCACTGTCAAATTTCCCAAAAACTGTCTGAATCTGGCAAGCATCCAGAAAGGAAATTGCTGGTTTTGTTTGCCTGGCAGTTGGGAACCAAGAATTCCATCACCACTCCTTTCTCTTTCCTAACGTTCCTCTCAGTGTCGGGTCACTGCCATCTCGCTGGTTCTCAGCTTAGGATTTGGGAAATATTTTTGGTTCCACATTCTGCTTTGTACTCCTTTACACATGATATGCAATGGCCTGCCTTTTCATTGATGTTCTGCAACTGTGTACATATTGCATTCTGTATCAAGGGAAATATATTCTGCTGAGGAAAGCTATAAAGAGCAACCTCACATTCTGAGGACTTAGTTTAAAATTTTAGTCTTATCTAGTCAGCAGCTATGACTAGAAATTCTTACTGGAAGAAGCTTTGTATCATTGAAGAGTGGGCCGTAAAATACTTCCCTTCCACTTAAGAAATTTTAGCCATAAGGTGGGTTTTTTTGTTTGTGTGTTTTGGTTTGTTTTTTGCCATCTCAGCACAGCTGCCTTTGAGTAGTTAGTTCTCTTTCCTTCTGCCCTTGTTTTCTAACATTTTATCGAATTCTGATGACATGCCAGCACTGTTATAGGTGCTATACATGTTTCAGTTCATTCCAGCCTCAGCCATTCCGTGAGGTAGGCCTCTTTTTATCCTCATCTTACAATGAGAAAACTGAGGCATAGGAAGTTTGAGTAACTTCTCTGAGAAAGTGGAAGAGTTTGGATTTGAAGCGAGGCATTTGATTTCCAAAGCCCAGACTCTTCACTGCTATCCACTCAGGACAATTCTTATCGTTCTCCTCTGTTCCTTCACAGAGTTGGTTCATTCTCATCAGCCCCCACTCCCCCCGCCCAGGCTCATCTCATTGTCCTTTGTTCCTTCCCCAAGTTCTTTTTCCCAAGACCACATCTATCTTTGCTTTTCCAGAGCAGTCTAACATTTAATGCCTGACAAGGCAGCTTTCCTAACAAACTTCACCCCCTCTGACCATGTGCTGACCCCATGGCACTTGTGGACAACACTTTGTAATGTTATCAAACTGGGCTTACATATTACCTTGAATTCCAACACTTTTATCATTCAAAGGTCACAAGCAGGGCAGCCCAGCCATTCTGAGGTGGAGCTAAGAGCCCAGAAGAAAAGGGAGAAAAATGTAGCCCCCAAATAGGTTGTCAATGTTAATGGGCTGAATCTCTTTGGTCATACACATAAGCCATACTGCCTACTGAGCTTAAGGAACAATTATTTACAGGACCTGGCAGACTATGGCCCACCACTTCTTTGTCATAAAGTTTTATTAGAACTCAGCCATACCCATTCACTTATATTGTCTACGACTGCTCTTACACCAAAGTACAGTTGAATAGCTGTGAGAGGGACTGTCTGGCTCTTAAAGCCTAAAATATTCATGATCTGATTTGTTGTACAGAAAAAAAAATTGTCAGTCGCTGATTTAGAAAATAATCTGTTAGAAGAAAGATCAACATTGAATTACAGTTTTGGTGGATGAATCATCCCATTTTGCTTATTGATGTAAATTAAATTCTGCTGACTTTCTAGGTTTTATTTCAGAGATGCTGAATATTTACTTTTATGGTGTCTTCTCTCGCAAAGGGTTTTATAAAGAAACAATAACTTATGGGAATCCCCTCCCAGTCGACTTCATGGCATGTCACCACATCTTTGTTACATCACAACTCACTGTTTTTCAACTCCTTTGCCCATTCAGAGCTTTAGACGTTGAAGGGCTCTTTAAGGGATGGATATTAAAATATGAGAAAGTGTGTAGGTATACATGTTACTGAGTCATACATTTTCCAGATAATCTGTCAAAATTAGTATTTATGAGAATACTCTTTTTTTAAATTCCTAAGCACATTTTAATGCATAAGAGTTTTTGTAAAACTAATAGTCCTGACAGTCATTTGCTTTTATAAAGAAGTAGTATTGTTCATTCTTCCATCTAGAAACCCATCCTTCTATGCAGTCTTAGAAGTGAGTGTACAACTTACAAATGCAGTACAGAGGAGCTGTGGACCATTGAAACTTGGTAACACAATTCAAACCTTAGGGATCTTCTAAGTACCTGACCCTGAGAGCAACCCAAAGCCACAGCTCATCATAAGTATAAAAGCTATATTTTGCAAATGCTTGTTACACAAACACCTAACTTGTTTAACATTCAACATTTTTTCTAAGACTTTAATAATTGATGAATTACCATTGAATAATAAGTGTACTCAATGAATAAGCATGATTAAGATCAGGCTTACAATTAATCTTATATCAAATAGCCTTTATACAGGGATGGGAAAAGCAAGTTTGTACTTGTGAGTATGCAAAACACAGTTTATTTTTGCATTATTATTCATTAACTAGAGACCCGGTGCACAACATTCATGTACTCAGGGGCATGGGAGGGTGGGGAAGTCCCTCAGCCCGGCCTGTGCCCTTTGCAGTCTGGGAGCCCTTGGGGGACATCCTTAGCGCTGCCATGGAGGTGGGCCATTGCGCTCGCCAGCCATCAGCCCAGCTGTGGCTGAGTGGTGCTCCCCCTGTCATAAAGTTTTATTAGAACTTTGCTCCTGCATTGAGTGCCAGCCCCCTGGTGGTCAGTATGCATCATAGAGACCAGTCGTTCCACTATTCAGTCAATTTGGGTATTACCCTTTTATAGGATTATGTATTATTTATTTATATTACAACTATAACCCTACTTTTGCCCACCCCTCTGTTTTCTTAGGAACATTTTAACTCTCTTTTTAAGTGCTTTGAAAAATGATATTTATTGATTTTTTTTCATTTAACATAAAATAGTTGAAGGTAATTGCATAACACTCTTAGTCATGATTTCAAAAGATAAAAAGATTCACCTGTAAGTCACAAAAACACAGTGAATGTATTTTGTGAAGCAATCAGTAATTAATTCCATAGTTCTCATCTTCCCACAAAATCTGTTTTTGAAGCAATGCCAATTTAAAATGTTAAAGCACTTTTGAAAAGATTTCAAAAACTACAATAAAGTGTTTATCACACAGGCAGTTCTTTATTCACTTTCCTGTGTACTTACGAGTATATTGAGAGTTCACTATTTTGACAGATGTTGGAAAGGACACAATTCCCTTTGGAAAGGCATTCTTTCACATTATACTAGTACATCAATGAAGATGTTTCTTTTATAATGAAGGACAGAAGAGCTGTAGACCATTAAAACTTTATACAGTATAGATAGCTGAGGACCAGGAAAATCCACCTGTGTTCTGAGCCCTTCTGTCACCAATCTGTTTGCTTGTGAACCTAATCTAGAGTTTGAGGTTCACTGTAAAGTGCCTATTGAACTTCTCAAAGAGTTGTTTGATGCTTGGATGGCATTTACCACACTGAGTTATAGAGATAGACTTGTGTAATACTCATCATTAATATTTATGGGGGGCAATAAAGTAAATTTAGTCACGGAACAAGGAAGTGCAGATTCTCTGAAACTTTCACAGGTTTATGGAACCTTTCTGTGCTTCAGTTTCCTGGTGACTTAATTTATGGATTAAGTTATAAGTTGCACATTCTTCCGTGGTTAGTCTGAAACAGGTGGATTATGGTACTAATCCTGGTGGAAAACAGAACTTGGGAATCAGATAAGTCTGGAACTAGGTCTCCCAGCTACTGTATGATCTTGTTAACCCTTCTAACCTTATGTTTGCTTGTCTGTTAAAATACAGTTGATAATAACTGCTCAACCAAATTATTATAGAGAGTAGATGAGATAACATTGTAAAGCATGAACCCAGTAGTTAGCACTTAGCAGTGGTCTCTCTCTCTGTGCCTTTCTCTATGTCTTTCTCCTTCTTTGTCCCCTGCTTTCCTGACTTCTTCATCAGGTTCCTTTCATGCTGGCAAGGAATTTGTTTTTCTTGTGGGAAAGTCCATTTGTATCTAAAGCTGCACAAGTCATTTCAAATGGATTGTTTTAACATGGGAACTTATAGGAGCTTCATGGGAATTGTCACTGTTGATAAGTCTTGGCCAGCTGTGCCTGGCTTCTGTCTAACCTTATGCAAAGGAAGCTCACACTATTCAAGTAGACAGAAGCCTCTAGAAGGGCAAGCAGACACAAGATTTGTAGTCTCGTCACTGTGTTGGGCTCTGTCATTTCTCTCAGCCTGAAAGAGAACGTTCGTTGCAATTTGAAGAAATAGCCCACAATTTCCCCAAAGATTTTCCTGTAAGAGCCCCTTTCTACCAAGCAGGGTGAATACATTGCTCATGATATTAAAAGTACAGAAACCTCCAACTTTTGGGGAGTGCTTTACTGGAGTGGCTTTTTGAGGTCAGAGTGTTCTCAAATCCAGTTTGTGAGCTCAAGAACAAATATTTCTCTAAAGTTAATGTATAACCACTCAAGAGTGTTTTCACATTAGTTTGGGGATAAGACCAGCAACAGTCACTGATCATCATTAAGGATGATAATACAGGTAATTGAACTGTTACACACACACATGAACACACATCTTAACAAAGGCTCATTTTTCTGACATTAACCAGACTCACTAGGTAGCAGCCAAGTGGTAGAACAAACAAAGCGGCCTCTTGAATGCTGAATTTCCAAACTTCAGTATCCACATCCCCATTTTATGAGTATGAAAACAAAATCGTAGGAAAAGTGACTTGCAAACAGTAATATATTGGAGACAGAACTAGAGCTGAGATTCTCTGCCAGGTCCCAAAACAGTATTTATTCCTCTCCACAGGTGGGTCCTACCCAGGCCACTGCATCAGAATTCCCAGGAAGAGGTCTATAAATCGGGTGATTTATGATTGGTGCATTGGGGGATAATGTATCATACTGCTTTGCTGCAGATGTCAACAAAAGATAGACTGATCAACAATTATCAAACTTAATATTCAACAAGCACGGAAAATTGAGGGAATTCATTCAAAACTTCCCTAACACTAACTATAAACTTGGAAGAGCAGCCTCATGTGCAAAGAAATGTGCTAGGTAATAACCCAACCAACTTCTTAATCCTCAATATTTTTCCATTGATTTTTAGAAAGCGGAAAGGAGAGAAACAGAGAGAGAGAAGCATCAACATGAGACACATTGGTTGGTTGCCTCCCACACAAGCCCCAACCAGGTCTGGGGATCAAACCTGCAACCGAAGAATCAAACCTGTGACCCTTCCTTCAGTCCGTGGGCTGAGACTCTAACCACTGAGGAAAACTGGCGAGGGCAGCCCAGCCAGCTTTTATCAAATTTACCCTTTTTTTTTTTTTTTTTTTTTTTTTTTTTGCCCAAGCTCCCTAGCCTGTACCACATATTTAATTTATCATTCCTCACTGATAACCAATATAAATGAATACCGTACCAACACATCTCACTGTATCTTAAGTCAAGACACAGCTCAGCTCACTGTACGTCTGAAAGATGGATTTTGGTAAGGCACCCTTTTCAACATCAAGTCAAATAAAAGTTACTCACCATCAGACCTGCTCCTATGATTCCTGGGTACCACCACTCAAAGCAAGAGATGGGGTTTCGAAAAAATTTGCCTTCCTCGACTCTGTTGACAATGAGAGGGATTGCATTGAGAACTGCTCCTGACAGAAGGAGAACCAACAGGCTGAATCCATTGCAGGATGTACATCCTTCACAGCAGGTCATGGTCACCCCTTGGCTCAGTTAGAAATGCTGTTCCAGTGGCTGTTTGTGTGGCACTGTCTTGCCTTTATCCTGAGCCTCCTAACCTAGTTAAAGTTTAGCACTTATGAAATTAATTTCTGGAATTGATTTAGAGTCCAAGAGGGCAGACCTTATTATGAGCACAGGAAGTGAGGATAAGCTTATATTATGATGAGGTTGGGAAAGGAAGTGGGGGGGGGGGGCAGAAGAGGGGGAAGAGGTCTGTTTGTTAGGTAAATATACGCATGAAAATAGGCAGATGGTAACTAAGAACAAGGAAGAGGAGGTTAAGAAATGCTCCTCTAATGTATTTTACCAGTGTACCTTATAGAAGTGAAAGCAAGAATACCCAGTTAATATAAATTATTTTTCCTGTTGTATTGATATTACCAAGTAGTGAAGTTCTTTACTTTGAAATTGTTTAACAATAAAACAAATAGGAGATTGGGGGTAAAGTATTTCCTCTGCTGCAAATGTTCTTGATTAGTCAAAATTTTCGGGAATATACCAAATTTTAAATTTCTTCATGTCATATTATTCCAGTCTTGCAGACTAACTCATTTAGTGATAACCCACGTAAGACTTGTGGGAGATTTGGTCAATGCTGCTTGACTAGAAGTGTTCAAGTAGTTACGGGACAGGAATGCTGAATGGTCCAGAGCTGCTGCTGCCTCTGCAGTAGTCAAAAAGGCAGGGAAATTGGTCGAGTTCAAGCACACATCACTGCAGTTACTAGTCCAGGAAGCCACTGCCTCTATTGCAACTCCTGCCTCTACACATCCTCAAGGCTGTTGACTAAACTCTGGAGCACTGCCTGTGATGTCTGCTGACACTACAACTGTTTCTTCACTTCCGTGAAACTAGTAACTAGACCCAGGGACATCGCTGCAGTGCAGAAAATTCAATATTCCAGTCTTTCTTAACAGCAACAGACAAAAGTAGCAGAAAGAGGACTTCCACCTCATTTTTGTCTTCCATATTTCTCAAGGGTGGATCTAATTGTTACATTATCCAGAGCTTATATGTAGTGTATTCTAGGAAATGTAGTTTCCATCATTCTGGCTTCTGCCATACAGAAAGGCATACTAGAAGGACATAAAAATGGATATTGAGCAAAACAGTTCACCAAAGTGATTTAAATTGTATGAAAAAAATTTTTCTCTAAGTTATCTGGTATGACCATGTAACAGGTCATTTTAAAATAGTTTGAATTATGTTTGTATTTCTTACATATCTTAGATGTTTAGAATGTCTGAACATTTAGACTTGCATGTCCAGAATGATATGTAATATTTTTAAAACAAGTTGACACTACCTGTTTAGTTCCATTGAGAACACTTCAAGAGTATTAGATTTGTTTCTTTAAGAGATAGGAGAGAGTTAGTTTGAGGAAGAATGGAGTCCCAGCCAAGTCTTATTTGTACCATTGGTGAAAACAAGAGGTGATGCAAAAACATCTTGTTTTATCCTCTCCCTAAGCCTATCGCTCCCCTGCCTAGCTCTCTGCACACCACAGACCTGGGAGTAGTGAGGATTATAGCCAAATACCAGGAATTTTCTACTACACTGTATAGAAGAAGGTAGCTCCTGCTATTTTCTGCTCAGTCCTCTCAACCCCTATCTTTGAAGCTCCATCTCATGAAAGATTCACATGACTCTAAGGTAGCTCCATTCATGCACCAAGTATGCATCATAGTACCCTGTGTTTATGTGGTATGAATAGATATGAAACGCCCATCCATGTTCTGTCAGGCATCCTCTCCTAAATATCAATATACTCCCATTAAAGGTTTTATTAGGACATGGTTTTATATGCAGACACAGCTACCTATCCATCAACATTCATGCTTTTACTTTTCATAGTAGACTAGAGGCCCAGTGCATGAATTCATGCAGGAATGAGGTCCAGCTGGCTCGCCCCGATGGGGGTCCATTGGACATGGCCAGCAGGGCAGGGAGGGGCCACAGGCAGTTAGTGGCCAGTCCTAGCCCTGATCGGGGTGTTGGGGGCCAATCAGGGCCCAGGCCGGCTCATCAAGCTGGTTGGCTGCCACAATGAGCATCATAGCCACTGGTCATTCTGGTTGTTCTGGTCATTCTGCCATTATAGTTTCTGGGCTTTTAGATAGATAGATAGATAGATAGATAGATAGATAGATAGATAGATAGATAGATAATTGTTGGAAAATGTCTGTCAATCATGAGTTACATTTCCCAGCTCTCCATACATTTAGATTGGACCATGTGACTACTTCTTACCAGTGGGAAGTGAGGGAAATAGACTGGGTCACTTTCACACTAAGGATCTTAACACATTGCAGACCAGTAGTTTTATTGCTAGCCTTGCACCGGTGGCCAGAGAAGTTTCTATTGAATGGGTACAAAAATTGTTTTACATAAATGTTAAAGGCGCACTTTAAAATTAAATACCCATTGTATTTTGAAGTTATTTATTACATGTTCTTATAAGCCAATATTTTTTTAAGGAATTTTTATGATTGGCTACAAGTCTTAGAACAGGAAATATGAGAATTCTCATGATCTTTCGGCAATGTGTTAAGAAGTGATGGGTGTTGCGCCTTTTCTTCTTTTACACTTACATTTTGCAGACAACCAAGTTACCTTGAAAGTCATATGTTGAAAATACAAATCAACCTAGATCCCTGAATGAGTGAGCAGGGCTCAGCTCCCCAACTGCTTACCCCTTCTGCCCACCCAGAACTGTTCAGGCTAATTGACATCAGCAGGAAATAAATGTCTACTGTATTATGTCACTGTATATTTTTATGTAAATTTGTTGTTGTAGCACTGCCTCAATACATTCAGTGTATTCTTTTGTTCTTTACCTTAGAATCTTCCTAAAGTCTGCAACTCCCACCCCCTCCTCAAAACAACATAAAAAACAAATCAAAGACAATGAAATTCTTTTACCTGGTGTTTTATTCAGAAATGATATTTAGGAGTATTAGAGAATACTAAAACAGTAAGAAGCATATAGTATATAACCAAGGTCAGGAATAATACAAGTGCAAGAGTTCTATAAACATAAAAGTAAATATTTCAAGAGAATTAAATACATTAAAAAGCATTATTTCATTTCACTGAGCACATTAATATGAATTGTTATATCCTAAGGAGCAATCTGTGGCCTGTTCTTATTGCAATACAATTGATAGATCAAGTTGGATTGAGAGATATTATATATACTTTATAAATACTGTGTATATATTAATTCCCACTATAGCCAACATATATAAAAGTGTTGACCTTGCAGACCTTGAGACCCTGATTCTATTTCACAGAAGCACATGTACAAACTAGTCATTTCAATGGCACATGCTAGGCTCTGTTTTAGAGGCATGTTCCAGGGAAGAAAGCCCTCCTTCCCAGGGAGCATAATCCTATATAATAAAAAGGTAATATGCAAATTAACCCTCATGCCCTTGCAAGATGGCTGCCTATGACCAGGCTAGCAGTGGGAGGGCGAGGATGAGGGGCGACCAGGCTGGCAGGCAGGTAAGTGATTAGGAGCCAGTCATCCAGGATTGTGAGAGGGATGTACGACTACCTGTTTAGGCCCAATCCCTGAGATCAGGCCTAAACCGGCGGTCAGACATCCCCCAAGGGGTACCAGATTGGAGAGGCTGCAGGCTAGGCTAAGGGGACACCCACTCCCCCCGTGCACAAATTTCATGCACTAGGCCTCTAGTTCTTCCATAGTCATGGGAGTTTTCCATGCACCCACAAAGCACTCTTAGATCTGGGCAATAGGATCCCTGCACGTTAGGGTCCCATAGATCATAAGCACACAAAAATAAATTTGAACATAAAGGATCTGTCAGGTGTTGCTCAGTGGTTGAGCACCGGCCCATGAACCAAGTAGGTGGTCACTGGTTCAAATCTCGATCAGGACACAGGATTGGGTTGCAGGCTCCGTCCCAAGTAGGGTACATGCAGGAGGCAGTCAATTGATGATGTTTCTCTCTCATCGATGTTTCTATCTCTCTATTCCTTCCCCTTCCTCTCTCTCTAAAAATCAGTAAAAACATATTTGAAAATAAAAGAACACAAGGTCTCCTCTTCCACTTAGGATCCAGAGCTCAGCCTGTGAGCCTAAACATCCGCTGTGTGGGGTGACAGCTCAGGCCCCGGGAAAGTGCTTCTCCACAGCGTTTGTCTGTGTCCTGGAAACAGGAGCTGAACCCTCTGCCTGTTCTGGCGGGTTGTGGGCTGAGGCCTCAGAGCCTGCGGGGGTGGCCTTGTATGTTAGGGATACTTAGGCAGGAGAAAAGACAGTGGACTGGTCGTATCCTTCCTCTCAGCATGAATACACCTTGTATAACCAAGTGTCATTTCCAGGAAGGAGAGGCCAGCGTCCTTCTCCTGCTTCTGCTGGCGTTCCAGTTCCTTGTTCTACAGGTGCTCACATGTTCCTGTGGAATTCACAACAGTGCATGTGGCGGCTGAGCAATGTTTATAGTATTTAACATATCCTTCTCAGGCTGTTTACATGTGGGTCTAGACATAACTTGCATGGAATAGGCTATTGATCCTTCACATTGGCAGGAAATGGACATCAAACACTGGGTTGGTGAACACTTTCGCTTTCATAATATATTTGCTAAAACTTAATTAAATATTTAAAAAAGTAAATGAATATTTCAGCTTTACTTAAATAATTTTTATTTGAAATGTAGACATTTATTAATTAAAAAATTTGTCTCTTAACTTTGTAGGTAATTTTGAAGATTTTTAAAAAATATATATTTTTTTTTTACTTCACACTTTCTACATTTTGTTGTTTTGGTAAAAATATGTGCAAATTTTTAGTATGAATACTATAAAGTTCACTTTTAATTTTGTAGGTTATTACTGTCAATGGATTGCAAATTATGTTTTAAACATTTATTATTACAAATAATTAATAATTTGCTGAAATGATGGTAAAAGTCTTAAATAAATATATAATAACTTGTGGATTA